CAATGCCTTAATTTAAATACTCTCCCCTTTTATTTCACAAGGGTGTTGTGAGTAAGGGCTGTAAATGGACTTAGCTTCCTTCTGTTTATTTTCCTTCCTTACTCATCAGGGTCATCCTATCACTGTCTCTATCTCTGAGAATATTAAAAGCCTGCAATGACGTTTGAGAGCTAGGGAAAAAAGTACACAAATATTACTGTCACTGGTGGAAGGTGTCCAGGTTCTTGGTGTCTGGAATAAAGAATTAGATAAAACACTCAAACAAAGCAAGAAAGGAATGAAGGGATTTATAAAAAATGAAAGTACACTCCACAGTGTGAGAGCAGACCTGAGCATAGGTCTGCACAGAGCTCAATGGCCCTGTTACAGAGTTTTTGTGAGTTTAAATACCCCCTACTTGGGGTACACCCTATATCAATGAAGAGGATGAAGTAAAGTTACGAAGTCATTTACTCAGTGTATGCCCTATGGAGAGTGTATTTTCTGTCACAGCTGAAGTGTGAATTGGCCTTATATTCCCTGCCTCCAGACCCTATTTTCCTGACTCATAACTACAGAATCAAAACTGATATATTACCCCAACAGCAGAATTGTATAACTCTTTACTTTTTTAACAGAAAAATAATGTGTGTGGAATGTGAATGCACTTAATACATTTGATTTAATGAGCCTTTGGGCAACTGGTTTTGCAACCTTGAAGGATCAAGAAGTCTTCTCCTTGACTTCTGTTACATGTAACAATCACCTTAAATCTACATATAACAATCACTTTAAATCACTTTAAATCTGATTCTTTCCACCAGACATTGGTTCATTCTTTGAATCATTTTGCCAAGTTTTAAGCATTAGAGAAATTATGTTTTCCTAATCTTATGCATAACATGAAAAGGAGTATGCATCATTTTATATTTCTTTTTTCTTTTTTTTTTAATCTGAGACAAAGTCTCGCTCTGTTGCCCAGGCTGGGATTGGGGTGCAGTGGCATAATCTCGGCTCACTGCAACCTCTGACTCTCAGGTTCAAGCGATTCTCCTGCCTCAGCTTCCTGAGGAGCATGCACCACCAAACCTGGCTAATTTTTGTATTTTTAGTAGAGACGGGGGTTTCACCATATTGGTTAGGCTGGTCTCGAACTCATGACATCGTGATCCACCCACGTCAGCCTCCCAAAGTGCTGGGATTACAAGCATGAGCCACTGCACCCAGGCATTCTATATCTCTTATTTTCTGTTCTCCGTTTCAAATACATTATGCTGGTTTGCTATAAACATATTTCAAGCAGTAAATAGATGTGTCTACATAAATAGTTTAAACTTCTGTTCCTGTGGTAGATTTCATATATTTGTTTTAGAAATATTTTTAAAATCACATCTAGCCTATCATTTCTTGAGTATAACTAAAATTTCTTCCCACTACCATTCTTTTCCAATACAATAAAATTGGCATATATTTAAAAATTTCAATTAAATTAGTTTTAATTAAATTTTTAATTAATGTTAGAGAAAAAATATCTATAATACACAAAAGCATCAAAAAGAAAGTCTTAATCTAGTCTGCTGTGGAGAGAAGGGCACTGAAGAATAACAATAATTAACACTTGCTGAGCACCTACTCAACTAGATGCCAGGAACTTTCTGATACTATTTTCTGATGTAATGAACCCAAATGTCCCCACATTGGGATCTGCAAAGTTCACAGCAAGAGTAGTAACTTATTTTCACTTGTTGCTGTCCCTGTATTTGTAGAAGTTGCTGGGAATGTTTTGAATATTGTCCAATGTGCCTAAGTGTGCTGGGTACGGCCATGGACCCATTGGGCATGAGCAGTCAGCAGGTGGTGCTCAGGCCAGGAGCAGCCTCCCTCCCCTTTATGTGATGGAGCCCGGTAGAGGGGCCCTAAGAAATGCTATCTATTTCTACTATTCAACCAGTGCCCTATTGGGTTGTTCTTCCAGTTTCTTATTCCAGGACTTTTTCTCCCTTAACCAAGATATGAATTTATGGGCTGAACTGTAGACAGATTTGAGTAATATGTCAACTAATCTCTACACGTCAATGCTTGCCTGTTTTACTTAGAATAGATTCCTTAGTCTTCAATCACAGGCATCTGGATTTTGTTTAGGCAGATATCACCTGGCGTACTTACCCATGTCCAAAATCCAACGAGCGTCACAGCTTAGGCCTAAGCTGGAAAACTGGTTCAGATAGAAATTAAATTTATTTTAGAAATGAGAAAACTGAGGGTCAGCAAGTATAGGTAACCTGCCCAAGTTCATATGCTTAGCAAAGAGCCAAAACAAGGTTCAAATCCAGCTCCAAGTTATGTGTGTGTGTGTGTGTGTGTGTGTGTGTGTGAGTGTAAAACTGTCTCCTAGAATACAAAGAAGCTCCTTTTTATCACAAGATATGCCACTCTCTTATTTAAATGCATTCCCTGCTTTTTAAACCAACAGCTAAGGATGCATCAATAAACAAAACTGGCCATTTCTCTGTTTACACTTGGGAGAAATAACCGTGGTCTTCTTTTTTTCCAAGCTATCATTTTAACCTACTTAAGGAAATAATCTTTCAGCTGCCCTAAGGGGCACAAACAAGAGTGTTAGGTGGCTCTTCTATGGAAAATACAGTTTCTTTATAAATATTGAAATATCAGCTCAACAAATCACACTTTGGCAGTCTAGGGAGTGAACTGTGTCTGTTCCTTCTGATGTGTTTAATTTAAGAGAAAACAGGAAGTTGTTTCCAGCACACAGACAAGTTTATTATAGCTGAGACATATTGCTACTGTCTCCAAACACACTTCCCTTCGCATGTAAACACAACCACCTGGACAGAAGAGCCAATCTAAGCGGCAGTAGGAAATTTAACAGATTTTTCATCTATCCCTGCACAAGCATAATAATCACCTGCTCCAGACTTTCTGGAGCACAGAGAATACTGTACTTAAAAGGCTTGGGGAGGAGGGAAAGGAAGACACTCCTCAAGCATTGAATAGAGTTGGAATGGGGGAGAGAAGAATCCAAAACACAGGTACACCAGTGAAAAGAAACAAGCCTGTCAGCTTGAAGCACCCCAGACACTGGCGCTAGGTTTAGATGTGAAGCGCTAGTAGTGATGTTGTGTCATTGGGTTCACCCCACCTTGTCGTCTAGCTAAGACTACTTTGAATCTCTTTTCATACTTATAGAAGGTCCAATAACCCTCCCCAGCTGATATAGTTTGGATGGTTGTGCCCTTCAGATCTTACATTGAAATGTGACCCCTCATGTTGAGGAGGTGGGCCCGGTGAGAGGTATTTGGGTCCTAGGGGAGGATCCTTTAAGAGAAAACAGGAAGTCATTTTTGTTTTCTGAAACAGAGCATTTCTGAGAATGCTCTTCCTATGGTAATGAGTGAGTTCTTGCTCTCTTAGTTCATGCGGGATCTGCTTGCTTAAAAGAATCTGGCATCTCCTTTTCTCTCTCTTGCTCCCTATCTTGCCATGTGATAGACCTGCTTCTCCTTCACCTTCTGCCATGAGTAAAAGCTTCCTGTTATATCAAGCAAGTCCTGTCCTGCCCTAGGAGACAGGATCCCCACAATCACTCATACAGTCAATACCAAGCTGAGGCCTGAGTGAGTCCATCCTCCTTGTGGGCTCTGCAATGGAGGGTGCAGCTCCCAGTGCCAAGGTGTTATCAGCTGAGAAACAGAAGGTCCCTGAAAGGCCACTCAAATGACCTCATGAGTGTCTGCAGTCTAAATGTTAAAGAATTTTTTTTTTTTTGGTGGGTTACCTCCATTTGGATTGGTTGAAGTTATCAACAATTCATATAGTTTGTTTGGTGAGGTAACTGCAAATCCAGCTGCATTTGGGGAAGAGATATAGTGCTAGATAGCAGAGTTATTTTTCTCTATTTTAACTTTAAAACATAAACTTTGCCATAAGTGGTCAAGTCAATGTTGTAAACAACGACGTTATCTGATAAATCACACGTCTCCGATTTTAATTCCCAACTCCCATTTAAGTTCAGATTCTCTTCTCAAAATTCCATGGGTAATGTTCTCACAACTGCACATACACCTTAAAATCCTTATGTACCAAGCAGAAGTCATTCTCTTCTCTATCAAACCTGCTCCCCTTCCAGAATTCTAGAGCTCAGTAACCAGCTGAGCATATCAGAGATGACCTTTGATTTCTTCTTCTTCCTAATGCCCTGAATTCAGTCAAATACCAAGTCCCATCCATTTTACCTTTTATTTTTTGTTTTATTTATTTATTAATTTACTTATTTGGAGGCAGGTTCTTGTCCTGTCACCTAGGCTGGGATGCAGCGGGATGATCACAGCTCACTGTAGCCTCGAACTTCTGGCCACAAGCAATCCTCCGGCCTCAGCCTCCTGAGTAGCTGGGTAATACAGGCATGGGCCACCACACTTGGCTAATTGCCTAAAAATTTTTCTTTATAGAGACAGGGTCTCTCTATGTTGTCCAGGCTGGTCTTGAAATCCTGATCTCAAGTCATTCTCCTGCCTTGGCCTCCCAAAGTACTAGGATGACAGGCATGAGCCGCCATGCCCAGCTAATTTTTTTTTTCAGTATAGATGGGATCTCACTATATTGCCCAGGCTGGTCCCACATTTTACTTTTTAGGTATTTTTTGAACCCATATCCACTGCCACCATCCTTATCCAGGTCTTCTTTAACTCTCACTTGTCCATAGCAACAGCCTCTCCATCAGTTCCCTGTTCTTGTGCCTCCCTCTCTCTAGGATACTTCTTCCATGGAAGTCTAAGTAGTCTGTCAAAATTCATGTCCCTTTCTTGACTCTTAGGATATAGTCCCCAATCCCTATTGGCTTACAGGAAAGTCCATGCCCCCCCCCCCACCTACCCTTCTGGCATCCTCTACTGCCACTTGACCCCCTCGCACTCTCCACTCCAACCAGGCTATAGTTCTTCAGTTTCTCAAACATGCCATGCCCCTTCTCACCTCTGGGTCTTTGCACAAGCTGTCCCCACCCCCGGCCTGGTATGCCCTCCTTCCTTTCCATTCAGCTGATGCATTTATCCCTTTTGTCCTAGCTAGTGGACACTGTCTCAGGAATGCTTCCTTGACTTTCTAGAATGTTAGGTTAATTTGCAATATGCTCCCATAGCACTCTGAATTTTTTTCATGGTTGAATTTAGTTATTCATATATTTGTTTACCCCATAAAACATACAACTACTACATACCCCTAAAAACTAAAATTAAAAAATAAAAATAGAAAATAGACATAACTATTTAATGTTTGCCTTCTCCCTTTAGAATGCATGTGCCATGAGGACATTAATGTATCTATGCTGTTCATGGCCAGATCTTCAGTGCCTTGCCAATGCTCAACACATTGTCAAATCTTATGTAGTTGCTGCTTGAGTGACTTTAACAGAGCTCTTCGTAGTTAAGGATTTCGTTTTGATGTGCAGCTAAAACCTAAGCACTAACAGTCCATTGTAGTTGTGTTTTCCTGTAGCCCTTTGACCTTTATTTTCCATTTCACAAAGTTTGTTATGTATATGATATATTGCCCTCTTTCTCTTTTCCCTCTTCCCAGTGATGTGTCACAAATTATTGTATTTTTATTGGGTGAGGCCCAGGTAATCTCTCTGTTTATAGCTCTGACATTTCTGGGTGCAAACACAAAGTGAACTTTGGTTTATCTCCTGCCATAATGTAGCTGCTAATTACTGGCAAGGAGGCTGTATTCCAAAGCGCATGTGACCAGCTGGGCATGACCAGAAAGAAGTGTGCGGAAGAGTGGGCTGAGGGGCTCCACTAGAGACTGTTCATCTGGATTCCCTGCCTCCCGGGGAGCCCAAGAGAACAAAGAAAGTGGGCACAAGGAGTATGGTTCTAATGTGATTAGGGTCATGAAGACGCCGCTGTGGGGCTTGGCTTTGTGGTCACTGCTCTTCCAGCCGGGGTGGCTGTTTTGGAGTTCCCGGGTGAGCCAGAACTGCCAAAATGGCAGCTACGAAATCAGCGTCCTGATGATGAACAACTCAGCTTTTGCAGAGCCCCTGGAAAACTTGAAAGAGGCGGTGAATGAGGGGCTGGACATAGTGAGAGAACGTCTGGAACGCGCTGGTAAGATGCTAATAGAACCTTCCTCCACTCTGTTACCACCTCTGGGGACAGAGTGCTGCTAAGCAAAGATCTGTGTTCTTTGTCTGATCACACAACTTTCTCTAAAGGCTATTCCTAAGCCCTTTCTATTTCATGACAATAGATCCTTAGAGAGAAGAATTTGAAACCTACTATGCTGTGCTCACTCACACTTGACCTTGCTCTGGGACTAGCCCTGACTCAGGAAATGTAAAGTGTTCACGGCAGTGAAATGTCCCAGTTAAAACTGGGTTTAGGCCTGATGCGGTGGCTCATGCTTGTAATCCCAGCACTTTGGGAGGCCAAGGAAAGAGGGATACTGAGCCCAGGAGTTCAAACCCAGCCTGGGCAACATTGTGAGACTCTATCTCTACAAAAATAAAATAAATAAAAATAAACTCAGTTTATTGCCCAGTTCCAGGAAGGCACCAGACCAAATCTTTGGTCTGGATCTGAGATTTCACAAGAACGCTAATCAAGAAGATGAATTAAGACTGTAAATTTCACATAGACACCAAATCTTTCTCTGGGTCTTTTATCCAGAGAAAGACATTTGTCTCTTGCCTGTTCACTCTTTACATTTCCTGTGGCTGTCATTACCAGACATAGTTAATATAATACATTTGTGATCAAATTCATTCTTGCAGTTCTTCATAGTGTCTTTTAGTTATAAAAATAAATTGTATAACATTACATAAAATGTGTAAAATAAAGCGGGGGGAAAACCCATGATTCCCAACCACCTGGATGTTTCCAGTCTGTTTTCATATGCTACTTTGCTTCCTGTTTTTAAGAATGTGATTGGTGATCACTACGGCATAGAAACAATTTTGGATTCTTCTGGTTCACGTCACATTATTGAACAAGTGACTTTCCTAGAGCTGCCTAGCCTTTCTAGTCATCATGTGAATTGATGTATAATATCCACTGGCTACAAATTACCTAATTTGGGGGATACATATTATAACATATATAATAATTCTCTGATGTCAGATATTTCATTCGTTTTTAATTTCTCATGATTACTTTTATAATACTCCAACAAACATTTTCATGTATACAGTTTTTCTCCATTCCCTGAGATTAGACTACCAGAAATAGAATTACTGGATCAATAAGTAGTTAATGCATCTTAATGGTTATTTGTGGTTTTAAGGATGGTGTGTCTTAATTTTCTCTATTTAAAAATCTGTGGAAATAGGGCAGCTGTTCGGATATGAATAATAACTCACTTCTGTGCACATACAACATCTCTCCAATTCTGAAACTAGATTCACATATAAGTGAATGGATCTTATCTAGAGCCATAATGGAACTAGGAAGTCATTTAGTAAAATCCCCAGTGTGGTATAATGGAAAGAACATTTGATTTGTTCTTTAAGGACCTGGATTGGGATTCCTGCCTCAAAGTTTTCTCTCTCTGTGATCCTGAGTTAGCCTCTCTCAGTCTTGGTTTCTTCAGTTACTGAGTACGTGTCATGTGGTAGCTAAGTTCTAGGTACTTCAATTATATCATCTCTTTAATCAACACAGCTCTATGAGGTTAGCATGGTTGACACTGGTTTCACAGCAGGGGTTTAATAACTTTGCTAAGGTCATGTAGGTTGTCTGTTTGAAGTGAAATTTATACCCATATCAGCCTGATCCCAGAGAGTACATGGATCACTCCTTGGAATCCATTATAATATCTTTACCTAGGGTGAACTAACTTTCTGATTAAAACAAGGCAGTGGAACATTATGGTTAGAAGCAGATATTTGGAACCTGACAGATCTTGATTTATTTTCCGGCCCGACCATTCACAACAGGTATGACCTTAGCAGCTACTTAAATTTTCTGAACCTCAGTTCTCATGCCTATAAAATAGGATAAGTGGTAGTTAACTTATATGGATAGTGTTTGGATTCAATCAGAAAATTCATATAAAGTACCTCCTTCACTAACTAAAACATAGTAAAAGCTCAATAAATAGTAGTAGTAGTAGTTGGTGGTGGTGGTGGTGTTGACGTGTTAATGTGGTTGTTCTTATTGTGGCTGTGCTGTTGCTACTGCTAGGAGAGCACATTGCCAAGCACCTAAAATAAATAAATAGAATATTCATGAAAGCCTTGGTCCCTGATTCATACAGCCTGAATTCGAGTGACATTAGGTGAGTCATTTATCGTTTCAAGGTTTCACTCATGTTATTTGTAAAATAGAGTTATTAGTAGGGAGGTTGTTAAATGTATCATTTAAGTGGAGAGCTCTATGGAGGTGAAAGAATAAGCAGTGACACCCAGACTTTTACATTTGTTAATTCATTTTGTTGGATATGCATGCATAGTAGCTCAGCTGGTAGAGCGGAGGACTGTAGGGGTTTGAACGTGGATATGCACGCATAGTAAATATGAAAGGTACAGGTTTTGCGGGGAAAGATGGTTCACGTTCTGAACATGTTGAGCATCGTTATTTGTGAAAAACTCTAAGACAATATATCTGAGGGCTACATGAAGAAAAGTAAAAGTTCAGATGTTGTATGTGATGTTCGAAAGGAAATGATCAATATTTTCTCTAAGAATTAGGAAAGCTTTGAGGGTCTTGAAGAACATTCAGGATCTAGTGGGAAAGAACATGAAAAAAAGAGATTCCTTCAACTTATGACATCACCTCCCTGAGGATGTATGGTTCCAAGGTTAATCACATGACCCATACCCTGTGTGTGCTCCCACGTGCTGAGCCGGTCCCACTCCTAGACCCCAGAACTGAGGCTTCAGCTTCATGTTGGTCCATGTTGGTCCAACCACATCCTTAAAGCCTTAGATAGGAAGAGAGAGTTCTGAGCTCGCCGCATGTTAGGTTTCCATCCATTTTCCCAGGAATAAGGTATCACGGTGGGCCGGAGAGTGCCTATAGCAGAGGATGAAAAGTGGCAGTGGGGGAAACGGCCTATTTTAAAAGTAAACCTTTGATCTGAAGTCGTGTCATTGCCTGAAAAATGTTTAGTATTTTCTAGAGAAATCACTTCAGTTCCGGAATGATAAAAGGGAAGATATTACCCCCACCAAATTAAAAATAACAGAAAGCAGTACACATAAAAGTATATATTGAGAGGCAGCAATTATACTATGTTCCACAGAAGTCATTCTCAAATATTTTGGTATTAGGGCCTCTTTAAACTCTTTAAAATTATTGAGGGTGCCGAAGAGTTATGTTTGTGTGGTTACATGTATCAGTATTGATTATATTGAAAATTAAAACTGAGAAACATTTTAAACATTTGTTTATAAATTCACCAAAAATAACAAATACCTGTTAGCACAAATAATATTTTTATTAAAGAAAATGCATATTTCTCAAGCCAAAAAAAAAGTGAGTGAGAAGACTGGTTTATACTTTTGCAAATGTCTTTAATGCCAAGCATAATGGAAGATATCTATATTCTCATATTGGCTTCTACATTCAATCTGTTGCAATAACATATGCCGCATAGCCTCTGGAAAACTCTATTATATGCTCATGAGAGGAGAGTGGAAAAAATAAGGAATGTCTTAGTATAATTATAAAAATAACTTTGACCTCATGGATTCCCTGAAAGGGACTAAGGGTACCTCAGTGGCTCAAACTGCTGTTCTACAGCATATCAAGTTCTAGAATTAGACTTCCCTAGGTTCAAATCCCAGTGCTACTACTTGCTAGCTTTGTAGCCTTAAGCAAGTTAATCTACCTCTCCAGACCTCCATTTTCTTATGTTTAAATGACGATGGCAAAATATTACCTTGAAGGATTCAGGGGAGGATTAAGTGAAATAATATCTGTAAAAAAAATTGCAGCCCAAAGCTAGACATATAGTGAAAGAGATCATCTGGCTCTATTCTATTAATAAATGAATGAGGAACTGGAGCCCCAATGGGGAAGTCACTTGTCTGAGGTCACACTCAATAGTTGGTTCCCTTTTTCTCAGGTGCTGTGCAGGGTTCATACTTGAGTTTTTCTGTGTCAGTCATGGGCCGGCTGGAACACAGGATTTTTGTGTCATTTTCACTGTCCCTCATGGCAGTAGGAGAGAACAGAGCCCTCACAGAGAGAGGAGGTCAAGAAGGAGGAGCTGGCTTACCTGTTAACAGCTGCAAGTGTGGTCATTTTCACGTGACTATGCGCTGGCCTCCACATCACTTTCTGCCCTCTCTTGCAGTATCCCAAGACCCTCTCCAAGCCTATTTTTTATAACTCCTCACATGCCCTCCTCTATTCTCCCAGGTCCACTGTAGCCTCATTAATTCTGTTCTCCTGGTTTCAAATTCTCTATATCCTCTCTATTGCCATGAAAATTAAATAAAATAAAGGGCATACGAGGCTTAGTACTGAAGCTGGTTCATGGTTACACTCAATTAAGTGTGAATTGCCATTAAATCCATCATTCCCCCATCTCTTCCATTAAATATCTCTGACTGGCCTAATTACATTGAAGCCTCCTATTTGGCTAGTCCTACCAAAGTACTGACATCTCTCATTAAGTTCTCTTATTGAATAAAGTATCAGTGTTTTCTAATTTAAAAAAGCAAGGCACGACATGCACCCTAGTTGGTAGACATCTCTCAAGTGGCTGTAGAAATGCAAAGACTCCTCCTTTTTTTGAAAAAACAAGTCTCTACCTTTACAAACATTCTTATTTGTTTGGAAGAACAACAACTTCTATTGTAGACATGCTTAGCTCTTTTAAAGGTTTTATTAAAAATTACCCCATTTGACCAACTTGGTTTTAACCTCATTTTACATGTGAGAAACTAAGTCAAAGAAATGAAAATGGCTTGTACAAGAACACATAGGAAATCACTCACAATGCCAGACTGCAGACTGAGGTTTCCAGACTCACTGTAGGCTTGGCAAACTTAAGAATATCCCTGCTTAGGAATCAGACAATTGTCCTGATTATTTTTCACTGGAAGGAACCAAAATGTAATAGATAGACTGTGGTCAAATGGCACTGCTATTACCTTCTAAAATGTGTTGCCTAGCAATACCCAGGGATATCACCAGAAAGACCCTTGCTTTCATCTAAAGATGGGAGTTCTCCGTTATACAAAGACCCCAAGCCAGAATGAACATAATTCACTTTGGCTTTGGGAGAAGACCACAGAGGAAATACCTAACACCAGGAGTGGTGTCCTGGTCAGCAAGGCCAGCCATCCTTGTGACCAGGCAGATATTTCAAAGAGAAACTTGTTTTTAATTCCTGTATTGCTTTCTAAGAGGAGAAACGTGTGAGTCAGAGTGAAATCCAAACAAAACTCTAATCTAATTTAGGACACTGATGAACACATTTTTGTTCTCTTTATGCTTGATGAGAAACATTTTAAAGTAAGAGAATATATTTTAAAGACAAAGGGATTTTCTGGAAATTTTGTAATGTTACATGATCTCCTTCCCAGTCTACTATGAAAGAAAACAGAACTTTGCATCACCTTCTTTATGACAAATAGATGATAGTTACATTGTTAACCACGTTCATTGCATGTGGGAAGTGTGGCCACAGTTGCTGGGAACCTCCTGAGGGCAGACAGGTATTTTTCTCTTAGACTATTTACTCTGTATCTTGAATGCTCCAGGAGAGACAGGGGCTAAAAATTGTAATACAGCAAGACTCATTGAGAACAAATAGTCATACTCATTGATAAATTTTGGATTTAACATTTTGGTGCATCACTAAGTAAAATGCCATTCCTTCATGCATGAGTTTTGATTTGAAGTATCAAAAATGTACATTTGGCTTAGGATGAGACAATCACAGTTTCAATTTCAGATCCCACTATTTACTGCATATGGGACTCTGGTAAGACAAACTCAATAAAGCCCATGTCTCAGGCGTGATTTCTAGAAAACTAACCAAGACACCCCTTTTAAGTTAGAATTATAAATCTGAGATACAGATGTGAAGCTTTTTATCAATAAGTGTGATTGCATTAGGAACTATTTCTGATGAGTGTATTTCAACTCCCTTAGTGTCCTCTCTATTTGGAAGTGTGACAGGCATCTCACACCTGGTGTACCCACCTCTATCACCACACGCACCACATGAACACACCTTCTCCTCCCGCATCCTTGTCTCACCTTGGTCAATACGAGTTCCCTTCACCCACTTGCTCAGGCCAAAAATATTGGCGTTATCCTGAGTCCTCTTTTTCTCATACTTTATGCTGTATTTATTAATTTCCTACCTTCAAAATACATCCTAAATGCAACCGTTTTTCTCCACTTTTGCTCCCACTACTGTAGCCCAAACTAACCTAGGTTATGAATAGCATCTTCACTAGTCTTCCTGCTTCTGTTTCTGTCCCCCACAATCTCTCTGCATCAGGATCCAGAGATATCCTTTAAAAATTATAGTCAGACAATATCATTTCCCTGCTCAAAGTCCTCCAAAGACATCTTATCCTGGAATAAATTGAAAGCACTTACTACACGCACATGACCATGCACGATGTGGCCTTACTGACCTCATGTCTCAACCATACTACCTCTGACTCACTCTGCCAGGACTGCACTGGCCTCCTTGTTCCTCCTGAGATTCCAAGAAGGGTGCTGCCCGGGATTTTTGCCCTTGCTATTCCCTCTGACCAGAGAAACCATACAGCTGCATGGCTCAGTCTTCACACAGGTCCCAGCTCCCCGTAGGGGTTCCATGATCACCCTGTCAGAAATGCACAATTCTGTGTAATGCCCCAAAGAAAATGTAAGCCTCTTGAAAGTAGGAACTTTTGTTCAATGCTGTATCGCAAGCACAAAGAAGAGTGCCTAGCACATAGTAGGAACTTAATATTTGTTGCCTGGATGGATAAAGATCGGAGACCAAGGAAGACTGCAGCCTCCTACAAGTTGGCAGCACCAGCATGTGCGGACCCTGAAAGAATGGGTCATCATAATGTCTATGTCTTTGCTTCCCAATGCTCCCAAGTCCATACAGGAGACTTGCTGCATCTAGGGTTGTGAAAAGATGAAGAGGGCAGTGAACACAACGAAAATGTTCTAAAGCTGGACCATGCAGATGGTTGCACAACTATATTTATTTACTGAAAGTCATTGAATCATAAACTCAAAATGGATGATTTTTATGGCGGGTAAATTATACCTCAATAATACTGTTGAGAGAGAGAGAGAGAAACAGAGATGCAAAGACATGGAGAGACAGAGACACAGAGAGGGGAAAAGTGACCAGGAGTAAAACGAGGGCTCAGAATGTAAATATTCCTAGGCCTGAAAATGGATATCCACTTTTTCCCTGGATCAATCTCATGGCTGGTATAAATTACTGAAAAATAACACTGGTGTTCTGTTTTCCCTCATCTCTGGATGACAGGCCTAAATGTGACTGTGAACGCTTCTTTCATGTATTCGGATGGTCTGATTCATAAGTCAGGAGACTGCCGGAGCAGCACCTGTGAAGGCCTCGACCTGCTCAGGACAATTTCAGTAAGTATTTGCTTTTGTGGATGCAGCTCATGGCTTCGGGGCACAGGGTAATCCCAGTGTGAAATGCAGGCACATGACCATGAAGCATCTCCTCCGTCATCTCCAGCCACATAGCTGAATGAGTGGCTGAGTACCAGGCAGTAGATTCTGACTTTATCCCCATAGATTACCCAAATAATAGGGGCCCTCTGGGAATCCAGGGAAGTGGGGAGAGCCTTGGCTATGTGCTGTGTGTACACTTCCAGTTGTAAGGAGAGGAATTAAGTTGAAAGGAGAGGAATTCTTTTGTTTTAAATTGTTGATAAAATTTTGTTTTGTTTCGTTTTTTGGTGTTTTTTTTGAGACAGAGTCTCATTCTGTTGCCCAGACTGGAGTGCAGTGGTATAATCACAGCTCCCTGCAGCCTTGAGCTCCTGGGCTCAGGTGAGTCTCCCATCTTAGTCTCCCAAGTAGCTGGGACTACAGGCATGTGCTACCGGGCTCAGCAAATTTCTCGTATTATCTGTAGAGACAGTTTCACCATGCTGCCCAGGCTGGTCTCGAATTCCAGAGCTTAAGTGATCTGCCCACCTTGGCCTCTCAAAGTGTTGGGATTACGGGCATGAGCCACTGCACCCAGCCAGTTTTAAAGTTTCTTTATTTAAATATTAACATAAACCGGTTTGTCTTTATGTGCCTCAAGAAATACCTGAGAAACCATGTTTAAAAACGTATTTCAAGGCTCCACACCAGAAATCTTTGTTTCTAGTCATATATCAGATCATGGGTAATTGCTTAAGGGCTGAATCTGACACCTAACTTGAAGTAGTAATTGCAATGTCAAAGGACGGAAATGGGAAGAGGGAGATTCTTGCCTAGTTCCTCCTCTCCACCCCCAACCCCCAATCCCAACCAGTGCTTTAAGGAGCTAGAGTGTTACGAGCTCTCTAGAGACAAGCAGATATGCAATGCACCCACTTACTACAGAAACTGAAGAAAAGGCTGTTCAAGCAGCAGAGCACTGGGAGCAGAGCCATGGCTCTAAACTTTAATCAATGAGATCGGCTGGGTGCAGTGACTCACGCCTGTAATCCCAGCAATTTGGGAGGCCAAGGCAGGCGGATCACCTGAGGTCAGGAGTTCGAGACCAGCCTGACCAACATGGAGAAACCTCATCTCTACTAAAAATACAAAATTAGCCAGGCATGTTGCTACATGCCTATAATCCCAGCTACTAAGGAGGCTGAGGCAGAAGAATTGCTTGAACCCAGGAGACAGGGGTTGTGGTGAGCCAAGATTGCACCATTGCACTCCAGTCTGGGCAACAAGAGAAAAACTCTGTCTCTAAATAAATTAATAACATCACACCACCAAGCAGGCCACACTGCCATCAGGAAGAATGGGAGCCATTCACAATCTTGCGAAGGTAAGGTGGGCACAAGCATAGTTTGATAAACTCCACATCACAATTTCAGAAATATATGCTGCTTTTCTTTGCCTCTGCAGAAGGAAGTATAACCTGGTTCTCCAAAACCAGGGATGAGATGGTCCCAACCAGATTCCCCTTAAGAAATAGGAGAAAATAAGATCAATAATCACCCAGTCAATTGCATTGCATTTTGCTCACTTCAGCCCTGTTTTGTAATTCTCTCCACAACTGAAACTTGCCCTCTCCCTTCAAAGCACCTTCAAATCTCAGCAGCACCTACTAATGCTGCTGCCTGCCAGCCCTTCTTCTGCCTCTTCCCGTCCTCCATTGAGAAGGAATCCAGGTTCACCTCCAGTCAGCTCACCTTTGTAAAATACCATCCCTCCCTGTGGCGTCTCTTTCCTCCCCAACCTCTCCATGCCTCAGTTGATCCTTGTTCAGCCTAAGGCACCCTATGCTGCTCTGAGTTTGAGCTTCTTGCGAGGCCCCACTTTCTAAACTTCTCGGAGCCTTCCCCTTGCTACTTCTTTCCTGTCCACTGAGTGCTTTTCTTAGTTTTAGGAATTCATTTCTGTTTTCTCTCCTACAGAGTGAAAAACGGATGGGCTGTGTCCTCATGGGGCCCTCATGTACATATTCCACCTTCCAGATGTAGTAAGTAATACTACTGTGAACTGAAGTCAGGACATGACATTGCAACTTAAAGGACTCATCAGACAACAGTCTAGTCAAGGCAACACAATCAGAGGTGTTGAGGTCTCGTATTTTGCCATCTCTCCACGACTGTCATTCTTATTCAAGTAACTTCCCTTGCTCAGCATGGAGTGAATGTCAGTAGTCATTCAGGTTGAGTCATTAACATCTGACCTTGACAGAAAACATCGTGCAGGTAAAACATCAGAGTTTTGAGAGAAAGCAGGAAAGACAGTGAAATTGGATAATTTGAGGAGTTTAATAAATAAAATATTCACAAAAGTATGGGTAGAGAGTTGAGAAACACAAAAGAAAGTGCAGCACCCAAAGGTATTAGTAGGGTTCTGTTCTATCCCATAGGTCTGTGAAAGTGGATGGAAATAACAATATATTTAGTTCATATGGTTATTTGAAGACTATACAAATGAGATGTTAAAGTCCTTTGTACAGTGCCCTTACTATCTTAGAACAAAGTTCTCAATATATCCTAGAATGAAAATATTTTTCTGGCTCTGGGAAAACACCCTGATCCCTTACATTCATTTCACACAATGTATCACCACAAAATGCTTTGTTCTGCTAATTACACCTTCTGCAATCAAAATCCTGCTCAGTTACCTTTTTGCACCTCTTTAATCCGACTCCGAATCAACAATCGCCCTTTATCTACACAGAGAAAACTGTGCAGAGGACCACTTGCAATGGATTTGGAGGATAAAACTCTGAAAATTCTGTTGTAAAGTTTGCTTCTGTCACCTCGCACCTAGCACTACAAACAGACTCAGATGCTCAGGCTCACTGAGCACTTTTTCAGCTTCTCTTCCATACCAAAAGGCAGACAGATCCAGAATCTTACTCTTCCGTGCATTTGTTCCCGACTGTCATCTTACCTGATCACTTACTAATATTGCTATAGAGTATGCTCAAAAGGAAAGGAGGATTGGGAAAATTGATTCACCATTTATGAAGACCTTCTATGTGTAAAGAAGCATTTTAACTGTGTTAGAATAGAGAGAATTAGGTAAAACACAGCCCCTGCCCATCCAAATAGAGAAGGTGACAAGGACTCCCCTGACCAATACAAGACATAGTGAGATTGATGCCATCAGGGACATACAAACAGGAAACTGCAGAGAGTAGGGATCAGTGGCACCTGCCTGTAATCCCAGGGCTTTGGAAGGCCGAAGCAGGAGGATCCCTTGAGCCCAGGAGTTTGAGACTATCTTAGGAAACAGAGTGAGACCATTCTTTACAGAAAATTAAAACATAAAAAAATTAACCAGATGTGGTCATGCATGCCTGTAGTCCCAGCAATATGGGAGGCTAAGATGGGAGGATCACTTGAACCCAGGAGGTCAAGGCTGCATGATCCAGCATCACACCACTGCAATCCATCCTGGGTGTCAGAGTGAGATCCTATCTCAAAAAACAAAACATAGCTGGGCGTAGTGGCAGACACCTGTAATCTCAGCTACTTGGGAGGCTGAGACAGGGGAATCTCTTGAACCCGGGAGGCGGAGGTTGCACTGAGCCGAGGTCGCACCACTGCACTCCAGTCTGGTGACAGAGCAAGACCCTGTCTGAAAAAAAAAAAGAAAAAGAAAGAAAGAAAGAGAAAGGAAAAGAAAAGAAAAAGAGAAAGTGTAGAGTGCACAGAAGGGAAGGGTCACCTCTGTTTGAGGGAACTAAGCTTCAGTGGGGGGAAAACCTCATGAAGGAGATGCGATTGTTTGCCTGTTGAAGAATGGGTAAAATTTTAATGGGTAGAGAGATAAGGAGATGAGCTTTCTAACTAGGCAGTGGGAGAAGCACGTGTAAAAGCAAGCAAGAAAGTGAAGAACATTTTTGAAAGTCTGTATTAACTGGAGTTCCGGAAATGTATAGGGGAATAACAGAGATAAGACTAGGAAAATTAAGTGAGACCACATTTGAAAGTTCATGGGAGGAAAGTCTGGGTGAAGGAAGTTGTATTTCATGTGATTTGCATCAAAAACCACTAAGGTTTTAAGCTCGGAAACGCCATGAGAAGCAGCTCAACTTTCAGAATGATTGACCACAGGGTGTAGGAAAGACACAGGCGAGACTGATGACGGGAAAGTCAGCAGAGCAGGAGGACCTGGATTGGCAAGAAGGAAGTGGACATGGAAAGGTAGGACAACTGCAAAGATATCTGAAGGTAGAATCAATCAATAGTATGATGTTGGGATGAGAGACAGAGAGTAGTCAAAGAAACCTGTGTCATCTCAAAACGCTAAAATAAATGAAAAAAATCTCAAAACACTAAAATAAATGAAAAACAGTTGGGAGTAAAAAAAATGAAAGAGAATTCTTACTGTGAACATGGTAGTTTGAGATGCAAGCAGGACGCCCACTAAAACCTTTTGATGGAGCACTAAAGATGGAAGGGGATGTTGTTTTCCTTCCTTTGTTAAATACATATTAACCACCTACATACAAGCCTAGCTGACTGGAGATGCTGAAGTGAAGAAGCCAGGGATGACCCCTGCTTTCAGGGAGCTTACAGTCTAGTGGAGGAAACAGTTATTAAACAGATACTCACCTGAATAGTGACCTGGTCTTAGGCACCAAGGAAAGTTTTCCTGGTAGATAAAGAGATATGTAATCTAGGAGCTGAAGAATGAGTAAGAATCAGTCTGGCAAAGAGGCAGGAGAACATCATTCCCGGCATTTGTCAAGGCCCTGATTGAAAACGAAGCTTGATAAGTTTAAGGCACTATGAAATGATCCAGGTGCTGAGCAAGGGAAGGAAAGCTCTCAAATCCCCAGCTGACGTCTCAAAGGTAGTCTGTCGCACAGCTGGGAAGAAGGCAATACATGAAAAAGTATAGATGGCATCTTTTTGGCTTCTGTGGCTATGGTGTTCCATTCTTTTTCTTAGCCAGACTTCCCCTGTATCCCAGCCCAGGTATCATGACAACTCACTTTAGACTACATCAAAGTAACCAAGCCGCATATTCACAAAATTGCCTAGATTGTGCTTGGAATATAGCATATGCTCAACAAATGTTTTTAAATTCAGCTGTATGGGAAGGACATCTACATACTTGAGAAACCTACGTTAATGACCCAATTTCATTCTTTTACCATTTATACACACATGCTGAAACAGGTTAAAAAGAAATCTTATTTGTGCTACTTAAGTTAGTCCCGATAATGGTTTCTTTCTCAACCTCTTGACACAGCCTTGACACAGAATTGAGCTACCCCATGATCTCAGCTGGAAGTTTTGGATTGTCATGTGACTACAAAGAAACCTTAACCAGGCTGATGACTCCAGCTAGAAAGTTGATGTACTTCTTGGTTAACTTTTGGAAAATCAATGATTTACCCTTCAAAACTTATTCCTGGAGTACTTCTTATGTTTACAAGAATGGTACCGAGTCTGAGGACTGTTTCTGGTAAGCAGGATCATTAACATTTCATTAGCACTTGCCATGTATAGAAGCCATAGGATCATGCAGGCCACCGAGTTATTATCAGATGCACCTTCCACTGGTTAACAGCATTGGGAACAGACACCAGTTCACTTTCTCACACAAAAACAAAAGCAAAGGAAACCAACTAAATATAGAATGGTAAAAATAATCAGCACAGTTTGCATGTGCGACACTCTACAGTTTTGAAAGTAAGTTCACATCGTTTGTATTGACTTCCTGCAGTACATTCTCTGAAGAAAATAAAACAAGTAATAGGATTCCCATTTTACAGATAAGGAAAATGAAAACCAGAAGTTAATGTTTTCACACTGCTGTGTAAGACACAATATCAGAGAAAATGCATCTTGCCTATACCTACAATTAGTTTGAAAAATACTACCTCACACTTCTTCAGAGGATCAAGAGGTGGGGAAGAAACAGGAATCATGGATATTGCATTGTTAATAGTTTTCATACTACTATAAAGAACTGCTCGGGACTGGGTAACTTACAAAGGAAAGAGGTTTGAGTGACTCAGAGTTTTACATGGCTGGGGAGGCCTCAGGAAACTTACAATTATGGCAGAAGGCAAAGAAGAAGCAAGGCACTTTCTTCACAAGGTGGCTAGAAGGACAAATACTAAATGAAACGGGGAAGAGCCTTATAAAACCGTCAGATCTTGTAAGAACTCACTCACTATCATGAGAACAGCATCGGGGGAACCACCCCCATGATTCAGTTACCTCCCCTGGTTTCTCCCTTGACATGTGAGGATTATTGGGATTATAGGGATTACAATTCAAGATGAGATTTGGGTGGGGAGACAAAGCCTACCGTATCAGGTACCATTACTAATTGAAAGATTCATTCAACTTCAACAAAGGTGGTAGAGGGAATTTTCTGGCTGGGTTGCTGCCTTTACTTCCAGGACGCTGATTAAGTCTGCAGTCTCTCCACCTAAGTATGCAAAAGACTAAGAAGGGATACCACCAGGGACACACGTGTAGGGACCTACAGGAATCAACCCTAAAACCTCACATTAGATACTACTGGTAACTAACGTGAGGATTTCAACTTATCTATGGTAATGATACTAGTTTATAGAGCAGAGTAGAACCCTCTTCCTGCAAGCAGCCAGAAGCCATCACAAATAACTCACCAAATGTCCACTATTTACATGGATACATGAAGATCCCTAAAAGTTCCCCCATCTTTTCACTAATTTAGATCTTCACAGTCTAAACTAGTGGTATCATGGTGTGTGCTGTCTACTGTGTCAATAGCAGAAATGAATTCTGGATTAACAAGTCCCAGGATAGATCTGCAAATAAGAAGTGAAAGGCATAGAAGGGCACGAGGGAACTAAGCTGTTTTCTTAGTTTCTCCTTTACCTGTTCCAGGTACCTCAATGCTCTGGAGGCCAGCGTTTCCTATTTTTCCCAGGAACTTAGCTTTAAGGTGGTGTTGAGACAAGATGAGGACTTTCACAATATCTTGATGGACCACAACAGGAAAAGCAATGGTAAGAAGACATGAAGATAGTTTTTTTTTTTTTTGCTAATTTCTTCTTTGTGACTACCACCTCTTTATAAGTCATTTCAACAAATCCTCCACTGCAGAGCTATCATTACTCATACATATTTTGTATATTTTGGGAGATCCATAATTGCATGCAACTTCATTATATTGTTGCTTTAATTGACTAAAAACCTTATCCTCTGAGAGAAGATATAAAAGCATTATTGAGTAATTATATTAATATAATAATGATAATGCTAAAAATCCAGCTTTTATAAACCCAAATGATATCATGACCCACCCTCAGCAAACTATTTTTTTAAATTCACCTCAATCCAACATATTATTGGATTTGTCTTCACGCATTCTGAACCCCAGTCCCGCTGGTGACCAGGAAGATGAATTTATTGATTATATAGCCTTATAAAAAATTACAAGGTAAGCAAAGATTATCTTACTTTCCTAATCTTTCTGTATCTCACCTGTCCAGTGATCTCCCAGCTAGATACCAAGTATGAAAGCCTAACTGGATAAAAAATTTTCCTCAGATAAAAGACGACACTTTGGGTACAGTGTATACTGCTTGGGTGATGGGTGCACCAAAATTTTAGAAATCACCACTAAAGAACTTATTCATGTACCAAATACCACCTGTTCCCCCAAAAACCTATTTAAATAAAAAAAATCATCCTTACTAAGATATTAGGGGATTTGTTGCACTTTCCACAGAATTCTCTCTACAAACAAGAATATATCAGGGGCAAAGGAATCACTTGTGGGAATTTTCTACAAGGGAAGATACCTGCTTGATGGATTGCCTGATATCATTCAAACTATCATTTATTGCCATTATCAATCATTTGCTATATTAATGACCTACCAGTTGCAAAAACATTAACCAAGACATGGCAGGAAAGAAATACATAAGTATTTATGTCCCTAAAGAGTTTACAATTCAACAGGACAGCATAGCACACCATCTAAAAAGGTCTAATGATGTCTCCCCCAACTCCTCTCACTCATAAAGCTGTGCATTCGGGAGAAATCAGCTGGCAGAAATCAGTGGTAGACTTCAGATTGGACCATGGCACTGGAGTAAATAAGATGGAATTTTGAGTTAAGAGGCTACAGATAAAGCCCAAGTTGCTGAGGGAGGCTTTATAAATTCTTCTCAATTCTCATGTTTATAATATCTTTTTCAACCTCTTTGACAACTGGTGAGGTCTACTTCACTTATCTATTAAAACACATTCTGTAATTACTCCAGCCTGGCATAATGGAATAAACTCCGAACTTGACTGTCAGAGCAATCTTTGTCATCTGCTAGTTCTTTGACCTTTTGGCATCTTGGCTTCAGCTTCCTTAAATCAATAAAATTAAAAGAATGATGGACTAGATGATTTTTTTAAAAAGATCCCATTCAGCTCTATTCTGACTCTATAATTGTAAATGAAAAAAAAAAGAAAGGAGAAATTTAAGGAATTGGAGTTTATCTTTAAAAAAATTAACATGAACATACTGGGTTTAAATTCAGGCAACTGGCTCCCTCCCTGTTAGTCTGTAGACTTGTCATATATTTCTCTCCTTGTCTTACCTTCTCTCCTCCAGTGATTCTTATGTGTGGTGGCCCAGACTTCCTCAACAGGCTGAAGGGTGACCGAGCAGTGCCTGAAGACGTTGTCATTATTCTAGTGGATCTTTTCAAGTAGGTATAGCATTTGAAAGAACCTTCCTCCTTTCAAAAAGGAGGTATTCCAAAGATTTCCAGAAGGCACATTCTCTTTTCTCTTGCTTTGCGCAACCCCTAATGGGGTTAAGTATGATGATAATATTTGAACCGAAGTTTCATTTCTTCTCCATCACACCCTCATTTTTATTTAATTAATTGTGGCCTTAGCAGAGATGCAGTCCTTTGACACCGTCATCATTTATAAATATGAACGTTTTATTATAGCCCCATTAAACGCACATGTCCATTTATCTGTGAGGCCTGCTGAGTCAACAGAGAATCCTGGCTGGGTGTGGTCACTCACACCTATAATCCCAGCACTTTGGGAGGCCCAGGCTGGAGGCTTGCTTGAGTCCAGGAGTTTCGGACCAGCCTGGGAAACACAGTGAGACCCTATCTCTAATATAAAAAAAAAAAAAAAGAAAGAAAGAAAAAACATAAAATCCTGATCTCTAGCCTGATTTTAAAGTGTTGGTCCAGGAAATAATAAATCAACTAAAGACTCAATAATATTGTTCCTGGTAATGTCAGCCCCATTTTTATCCTTCAGTTGCTAATGGCCTTTGGTCCTAAATTACTTTTCCTCCAGCCACCTCTGATAAGCTTGAAGTTTCAGTTATATGAGTTTGATATACACAATTATTCCTCACTCTCTGTGGTGTAGTCACTAGGTGGCGATCTTTTCCTCCACACTTATCTGGACCAAAGAGAAAAACTTCTGGAGAGTAGAAAGCACCTTTGATCATATCCCATCTTTTTTTTTATCACTGATTATCTGATATGGTTGGAGACCCCACTAACGAGCTGTGCCGAGGTATATTTGAGTCAGGTTAGGCTTGAAGAAGGTGTCACTGCCATGCCCATGCCCCTTGTCCCCAGCAACTAGATCACATGACTTCACTTATCTGACTGGACCATTAATCATTACCTGTCTGTATTCAGACCAGAGGCTGTTGCTGTCTAGATCTTTCCCATATTTGCCTCATCATTTCACCCACACTAAGCATACTTCTCACAGCATGAACGGAAATGAAGTATAGGAACTGCAGTCCTGTTTGATGGCTAGATGTTCATGAAGGTAATTTAATTGACCAACTAGCCTCTTAACTACAGAAATACAGGAAAGAGGGCAGAGTTGTCAATATTTCACTCCAATAACCACATAGATTTCACTAGCTGCTTTGCCCCTGGAAGGAGTCCTTAGTGTAGCCAGGTTGGTATAATTTTACTTTCACAAATCTTCAATCAGCTGCCAAAGTGCTGGCATTCCTTTGTCACTGTTCCCAAAGGACGCCTGGCTATATTTTGAAAAGATCATGAGACTAAATTAGACATAATGTGTTCACATTCTAATTCTGACACTTCTGGTTGTTTTGACTCTTGGATTTTCGTTAGCAGTTTGAGATTAAATCTTCTCATTTGTAAAATGAGTATTAAAGTGTCCTCTTCATAGGGGTACTTCTAGAATTACTGTGATAATAGGAGTAAAATGTCCAATACAGTCCTTAGCACATGGTAGATGTGTTCAAATATTAAACACGCTGGGCACAGTGGTTCGTGCCTGTTGTCCCAGCTGCTCGGGAAGCTGAGGTGAGAGGATAGCTTGAATTTAGGAGTTGAAGACCAGCCTAGGTAATGTAGCAAGACCTTGTCTCCTAAAAAAATGTTTTTAAGTAAAAAACATTAAATAATGGTCACCCTAATTGCAGCAGTCCAGACATATCAGATTCTTTTCAAACTTCCAAATAATAGGAAGCTTAGAAACCACAGCATTTGCAGAGCAACCTTAGACAGTACTGAGAGTCTACCACGTGCCAGGCACTGTCTAGGAGTTGGGGATACAAGAATCAATAAGCTAATGTTCCATATATCAAGAAGCTTACAATGTTAGATGTTTAGTCTTTTTATGCTTATGTTTCATCATCTAAAACATAAGTTTAGTGATGAAATTTCCCTCTACCATGTCTCAATATCTCTAAATTGTTAAAAGCGTTTAAAGAAAAGAAAGTTTCTACCTATAAACCAAGCCTTAAAAGCAAGCATGAGCGCACATGTCCACAGCCCCCCAAAATCTCAAAGAAATCAGGAAATATCTGTATTCTCACTTTCCTTTCCTTGTGTGTATGCTAACCACAATTGCTTAAATTCTCTTGTTTAACCTAGCAAGCACAGAAGAAAACACTCCTATCTGGGGAAAGTAGAAAGTTTTGCAGATTAATGGAAAAAAATGTTTTAAAATATTTTCAAGGATGACGGTATCATTTGTGTGAATTGTAGAAGATGCATCTCTATTTTTCCTAATTTTCATGAGGAACCTGTGCTTTTTATTACAGTGACCAGTACTTCGAGGACAATGTCATAGCCCCTGACTATATGAAAAATGTCCTTGTTCTGACACTGTCTACTGGAAATTCCCTCCTAAATATCTCTCTCTCCAAGAATCTATCACCAGTAAGCCATTATTTTATGTTATAGTATAAATGATATATTATTATTTTCTTTGTCAAGGGTAAGATAATTTTTCTCCATTTAAGACCCAAATTCTAAAATGAGCAATTATTTTTACTTCCTCCAATTCACTCAACAAATGTTAAGTGACACCAACTACAGGTACAGCCTTTTGAAACAGCAGGATCCCTATCAAAGCTCTTAACTATAGGTCACTCCACTAGACTATAGAGTAGAATAACAGTGGACACATCTGAACGCTGAGATGAAAGTAACAATATGGAAAGACAGGAAGAAGCCCTACTATTGAGGATCAATCTTATAGGAGGTAGAAATTAAATAATGTAAAATAAGGGAAAGGTTGCTGGAAAGTTCTCTACATCCTAAAGCAAAATTTTCTTGTCACTGATATTAAAATCCTACCTTTAGAAACATGTATTCCTAGGTTAAGACATTGTCTTCCATTATAATTAAGTTGACCATTGTCCAAATTTGTCCAGGAGAATTTTGGTTTATTCTTGTTATCCCACAATGCTATCTGGTTTGGCATTTGTGCAGAAAAAAAGAGCCTCCATTTGGACAATAAATCATGGTCACCTTATTATAATGCAGGACTCCTTGCTCTAACAGTATGTTGGGGTTTGTCAGTCCTTGTACTTATGATTAAACCTATTAGATGTATTCTGCCTGCAGAGACAAACCATTGAGAGCAGGCCAGGATGGGAGGAGGAGGAAGGGGCAATGCTTATGACCTTAAACAACTTTAGGATGGCAAGTCAAGGGCCAGAAAAAGCTGCAAAGAAAGATGGATACCAGCCAGGCGTGGTGGCCCACACCTGTAATCCTAGCACTTTGGGAGGCCGAGGTGAGTGGATCACCTGAGGTTGGGAGTTCGAGACCAGCATGACCAACATGGAGAAACCATGTCTCTACTAAAAATACAAAATTAGCCAGGCGTGGTGGCGCATGCCTGTAATCCCAGCTACTTGGGAGGCTGAGGCAGGAGAATTGCTTGAACCTGGGAAGCAGAGGTTGTGGTGAGTGAAGATCGCGCCCTTGCACTCCAGCCTGGGCAACAAGAGCGAAACTCTGTCTCAAGAAAAAAAAAAAAAGAAAGATGGATACCTCTGGGGGTGTCACAGTTTTTCCCAACTAGAAGTTCTAAGTCCTCCAGTTTGTGATGGTGCCAAAATTAGAAACTGCAGCCTATTTAGGAGCTGAGTCTTAACTGGATTCTTTTTACCTCATGAAATGATTTCAGCAAAAGAAACTGAAACCAATGAAAGCGTTTTATTTTTCCAGCAAATGTAATTCTGGGTATAATATCCAGATATCACTTGACCATCTTCAAAGTTCTCGCAAAAGTATAATTCTTTACAAATGGGCAGTCGAATGTGCCCGAGGTAATAGAACCCACTTGGTCTCAGTTCAGCAAGCATTTTTAATTCATTGCTCAGCCCTGTGAAGGTCCCCATGCACGGGCTGCAGAGTCAGAGCAGTTCTTACCCTCTCCGTTATTTTATCCAGGGCAGACATTTGGGGCATGAAGTAATACCCAGTCACAACTGTATTCGAAGCAAGTTCAGTGGTACCATCCAGTCAAAACTGCTCATGTTCCATTCAGAATTCTTAAATACAGGGATTGTTTTTGATTTTTAGTTTTTGGGTTTCTCTTTTGCACTTGAATAAAAACATTCAACTACAAGCTAACATTATTTCTATATAAAATCTTTAAGAATTATAAAAATGCTTTACGTTGCCTTTCTTGGTTGCATTTTCATATTTTTTCATCATGGAAAGGAAGCCTAACTGCTCATAGTTACTTCCCTAAGGCAGTGTTCTCATTTTACTGATTCCAGGAGGAGACAGATCTGTGACATGGGATCATAAAGAAAACTGGCCCAAAGGAGAGTTTTCTTTCTTTCCTTCTTTCTCTCTTTCTCTTTTCTTTCCTTCCTTCCTTCCTTCCTTCCTTCCTTCCTTCCTTCCTTCCTTCCTTCCTTCCTTCCTTTCTCTCTCTCTCTCTTTCTTTCTTTGACAGAGTCTCACTCTGTCACCTATGCTGGAGTACAGTGGTGTGAACTCAGCTCACCGCAACCTCCACCTCCCTGGTTCAGGTAATTCTCCTGCCTCAGCCTCCCAAGTAGCTAAAATTACAGGTGTGTGCCATCACACCTGGCTAATTTTTTTTTGTATTTTTATAGAGATGGGATTTCACCATGTTGGCCAGGCTAATAAACTCCTGACCTCAGGTGATCTGTCCGCCTCAGCCTCCCAAAGTGCTGGGTTTACAGATGTGAGCCACTGCTCCCGGCATCCAAGGAAGAGTTTTCTAAAAGTTTCCTTTAATGACATCCCTCCAATTCCCCTGATATCCTTTTAACTTTCCAGTTATCCTGCTGATCCTACCAACCTTTGCTCTAGGCTGAAGACCAGGTTCTTTTTTGAAAAACTCGTTTTAATAGTTTCCTTTTTTGTTTAGACAAAACGAGACTTTGCTCTTGCCTATTTGAATGGAATCCTGCTCTTTGGACACATGCTGCAGATATTTCTTGAAAAGGGAGACAATATTACCACCCCTGAATTTGCTCATGCTTTCAGGAACCTCACTTTTCAAGGTACTGGTTTAATAAGAGCAAATAACCCCAAGGTGAAAAATATGGGCTGTCTTAGTGGATTTGGGGCAACAAAGAGGGTTTGGAAATAGATGATTCCACAGCAAAATACCTTTGAAATTCAACTGGATGCAAACATCATTACATAAACTTTGAGGGTGCTGTTATTGATAACTGAACCCCAGTTTATGCTTCAGTCTTTTAGAATCTTTGGATATCACAGAAAGGGAAGGGAGCTCAGGTTCTGTGCTTGTGAACAAGCTCATGATAAGGCGTTTTGAGCAGCGAAGTCCTGACTCTGCTTGGAGACTAAGCAGAGGATAAGTATTTGCAGTTTGATTTGGGTCCTTCCATATCTCCTTTTCTATCCTCCAAGGATCTGAGACCCTATGTTTAACCTTTAGCTAGCAAAACCCCACAAAATCATACCCCCCACAAGACAACACAAACCTCCTGAACTGCATGGGTTAACATTGCCCCTTCCCACAAGCCCCTACTGAAACTCTTATCTTTCATATCCCAGATCTTATCCTGAAACTATGAAGAAATTTTCCTCTAAATGTAATGTATATTAAGTCAAAGAGAAATTATAGTTGCTCTTTCTAACTTGCCTCAGAGTCTTACTCAGTGAAACCTTTGTTTTACTGCAGAGTAAACGACTTCCTCTGTAGGCTTCGGAGGGCCGCAGATACCCAGCATTAGGACTTAGGACTGCACCAGTGGCTATGGTGTATGACAATGGCAAGGAGAGAGCACTTCTGCTTCACCGAAGATGCAGGGAGGGAGATAGTCATTTGTTGATCATCCCATGTGTCCCAAGTTCTACCAGGCACTCTCTATGCATTCTTAATTGCCACACTTCCATGACCAGAGTTGAGCATTTTAATAGCATTAGCACATTTGGCTCAACATTTAACTAGGAAACAAACAAGTGTTTGTTCCAGCCACCTACCAGCTGTGTGACCCTTAATATCTCTGGCTAAATAAATTATTTCTCATCAATATAACAGAGATAATAATAGTTTCTATATCATGATATTCCAGGGAGAATAATATGATAATGCATATAAATCATTTAGCACAGAGCCTGGTATATAGTAAACAGGAAGTAAAAGTTTATTGTTACATTGAACCATGTGAAGTTACTAATTTGATCACTTTTTTTAACGTACATAGGTTTATCTTGTATTGCCATTTCATAGATGACAAAACTGAAACTCAGAAAATGTAAGCAGTTTTCTTCAATGTCTTCAGCAAACGAGTGATAGTGAAAAAATTCTGACCTTCCTACAATCTATGTTAAGATTGTACAGTGACCCTATACACAATGCTAGCAGTTCAGGAAATATTCTTAGCAAAAATATATCACTAATAAACAAGGGACTTATTGACTCATTACATTTAGTGTCACCCTAAATGCAATGAAAAAGTTTTTCTTTTTTTCTAAATAAATACACCTCCCATAAACATTTTCTCCAGAGATCTCTGGGCCAAGAAGCCAATCCAGGTGCCATGTGATTAGATTATTAATGCTAACAATGTTTTCAGTAAATTTGAAACAGAGGTATGCGAATCCATTTTACACTCTCTGTCATGATACAACGTATCTGTCAGGCAAAAATCAACAATGGCCTCTAACAGACTCTGATCCTGCCCTAGGGTATAAAGGTTCAGTGACCTTGGACAATGTTGGGGATGTGGACAGTACCATGGTGCTTCTGTATACTTCTGTGGACACCAAGCAAGTACGTCTCACTGCTTATCGGAAAATGCAGGGTGCTGTGGCTGGGTGAGGAGGGATAACTTGGCAGGGGAGCACTAGCAAAGGAATTCGAGAAATTATGTTTAGGATCTCAAGGCAGTTCATTTCAACTTCACAATTATGCCCCACTTGGGAGAGTATTCCTTAAGCATTTTGACCCATAAAACTTCTTATTCAGAATATCCACTCTATTTACTATTAATATGCCTACACCTATATATCTATATTTATATAGATATGTAAAGCTATTTTAAATATTCACCCAGAATAAATTACATAATATAACGACCAGAGTACTGGTGTGATACAAATGAGAGGATCATAAGTCTTTCCTAAGAATTGTTTATTCATTTTCACAATTAAAAATTTCGATGAAATATTCCCTGTTGTCTCCATTTGAATTCTCAGGAAAATCATAAATGTGTAAACCTGAGCCCCACATAAGCAGCCCTATAATGCTATGCTTTTATTCATATTATATTCATTGTCTTTTCTTTTTTCCTCACCTACATGGTAAATTCTTTAAAGGAAAGAAATGGGTCTACCCACCTTCCTATCTCTTCAATGCTTAGCTTCTTATCTGGCATACCATTGGTGGCTGGTCAGCATTTAATTAAAAAAAAAAAAAAAACAAAAGAAACCTGCCTTCAAGTCATACAATGCTGTATCCATCCAAACTATAAAATCCACTGTTCCAGCCAACCGACTGGTCAGTAAAAAGGCTTTTTTTAGGAGGTCAGGTCCTGACATAACATAAAATGTATTCATTTTCTCATTTTCCAATGTGAGTGTTATGACATCCTAAGTCATATATTAAATATGTGTATCAACCCAGCTTTGCAAAAGATATCTCCAATGGCAAATGTGAAAAGCTAGAGAAAAGATGTCCAGATTGAGAAAGCTAAACCAGAAATTTGCTAGCAGCATTCCATAAATGTAATTCATAGTTTCTTGATACTATATTGAACCCTTAATATAGTGTTATGTTTAACATACGTTCCACAAGAATACCTTAACATAAGATCCCATCAATACTTCGGTTACTAATAATAATTACAAAAGCACGTGCATTCCTCTCTGAGTTATTTGCATCTGGAATGATGCCCATGCCTTTCATAGAGACAGGCAGAAATATGTGGTGAGATATAATGTCAGTCTCATAACCACACTTCAAAATGGAAAATGTTCTGTGCATTTATTCTCTCTAAAAGCAAATTTGGTTGAGTTTTTCAATAACATAATACCATCGGTTGTGCTATATAACATGTATATTTGGGGAAACCAGAGATAGTTTCTCAAAATATGAGGCTAGAAGGATGATAATCTATATCTAGGATAGGCCTCATTAGAGTTTCAATATGCCACATACCAATATAAAGGAAAAAGACAGAAAGAAAGAGTAAAGTTATGAAAGTATGAAACTGAGCCGGGTGCAATAGCTCCTGCCTGGAATCCCAGCACTTTTGGAGGCCGAGGTGGGTGGATCACTTGAGGTCAGGAGTTTCAGACCAGCCTGGCCAACATGGTGAAATTCTGTCTCTACTAAAAATACAAAAATTAGCCGGGCATGGTGGTGCGTGCCTGTAATTCCAGCTACTTGGGAGGCTGAGATAGGAGAATCACTTGAACCTGGGAGGCAGAGGTTGCAGTGAACTGAGGTCATGCTACGACATTCCAGCCTGAACAACAGAGCGAGACTCAATCTCCAAAAAAAAAAAAAAAAAAAAAAAAAGTTAAAAGAAAATATAACATTGTTGTTCAGAACATTTTAAGGGTACAGTGGTAAATTTAGAAGGATGGTCATTGATATGGTTTGTTTATGTCCCTACTGAAATCTCAAATTGTATCTGGCGGAATTCCCACATGTTGTGGGAAGGACCCAGGGGAGGTAATTGAATCATGTGGACTCGTCTTTCCTGTGCTATTCTCGTGATAGTGAATAAGTATCACGAGATCTGATGGGTTTATCAGGGGTTTCTGCTTTTGCGTCTTTCTCATTTTCTCCTGCTGCCACTTTGTAATAAGTGCCCTTTGCCCTCCACCATGATTCTGAGACCTCCCCAATCATGTGGAACTGTTAAGTCAAATTAAACCTCCTTTTCTTCCCCAAAAAAAGAGAAAAAAAATTTTTTTCAAAGGTTTAATGGACTCACAGTTCCACATGGCTGGGGAGGCCTCACAATCATGGTGGAAGGCAAGAGGCACATCTTACATGGTACCAGGCAAGAGAGAATGAGAGCCAAATGAAAGGGGAATCCCTGATAAAACCATCATATCTCATGAGATTTATTCACTACCACAAGAATAGCAGGGGAAAGACCAACCCCCACTATTCAATTACCTCCCCCTGGAGTCCCTCCCATAATACATAAGAATTCTGGGAGATACAATTCAAGTTGAGATTTTGGTGGGGACGCAGCCAAACCACGTCAGTCATTCTTCAGATATCCTTTACAAAATTGACTCAATATATGCAGCAGTAATTTAAGGATATATTACTGTTTCCATTGACAAATTACTTGAAAATGAAATCTTTTATTTTAGAAATGAATTCATGTCATGTATAAGAAAGCATATTAGAGCCAAGGAATAGAAGAGAGTAGAAAATTAAATAACTGATGGAAGTTAAGAAATGTAGTTATTTCAGGGCCCCTTGACATGTATCAAAATGACATAATGGATTTTAGCTTTGCTGCATTTTCTTGAGAGCTTTTTTCAAAAGCAACAATATTGCAGAAAACACTAGTGTTTCATTTGCCATGTGACTTGGAGCTAGCCATTTCATATTTCTTGGCCTCTAGTTAAACATTTTTAAAATGAAAGATTTGAATTAGTTCACAAAAGGCCTACAGAATCTGTGCTGGCAGACAGGGGTTAATGGTGTAGTGTATGGACATAAAGCAATAGGAAACTAATCAGTCCATCTGAACTTACATCTGTGTTCATGCTGGGAACCAGTAAATGATCCCAACTAGCTGGTTAACAATTGCCTTTTTGCACTAAGTGTTAAGGAAATCAAGTGTCATTGGGTAGATCGTTAATCTCATCAGAATTTGTTCTAAAAGGTTTTTCTGTTCCTCCTTTTTCTTTTTTGTGCCTGGACACAGTACAAGGTGCTTTTGACCTATGATACCCATGAAAATCAGACCTACCCTAAGGATATGAGCCCCACATTCACCTGGAAGAACTCTAAACTTCCTAATGATATTCCAGGCCGGGGTAAGATATTCCTAAAGAATGTTCTTTCTCTGACACTGTTTTCCTGGTAAGAAAAGTAAACTCTTGTTTATGTAATTCGCCTATGCTTTTTGTTGTGTTTTGTCTGCTGTCCCAGTTCGTTTTGCTGGGTTTGTAAATGTGGTCTTTACTTCCCTGCACAATTAATGATACTATAGTTCTGATTCAATGAAAATATTTCTGGCCAGGTACGGTGGTTTATGCCTGTAATCCCACCACTTTGGGAGGCCAAGGTGGGAAGATTGCTTACGCCTAGAAGTTTGAGACCAGCCTGGGCAACATGGTGAAACCCCATCTCTACCAAAAATACCATAAACAAACAAACAAACAAAATTACCCAGGCATAGTGGTGTGCACCTGTGGTTCCTGATACTTGGGAGGCTGAAGTGGGAGGATCACTTGAGCACAGGAAGTTGAGGCTGCAGTGAGCTATGACTGTTCCACTGTACTCCAGCCTGGGCAACAGAGTAAAACCCTGTCTCAGAAAACATACAAAAAATATTCTAATTTAGCTATACCTACCCTTAAAATATGTCTTACCATTTGACATAAATTATTCCACAGAAAACCAGATTTGACAACTGTCAAAAATGAGCACAGAGACATATATTCTTACTCCATTTACATTTTGCTGCAATAATCTCAAAGGATGTATCTTTCAGCAAAAAATACTTGACATATCAGGCTGGGGGGTGACCAGTGATCCTGGCCTTTACAGCCTCCTATATTCCCCCCTGGACACATGTTTGGGTTGCATTGATAGCTACCCACCTACTTAAGATTAGGTCCTATCATGTTATGAATAGCCCTAACATGACTTGGCCAGCCTTCACCCCTGCAAGCTGCACACTGACCAACAGCAGCAGGCAGGGCCAGTCAGGATGTTCTGGGCAATGAGGTCTCAGGACAATCCATCCATGACTGGCTTGGCCAGGGCTTGCCATAATGAGCAGTAATTCCATGTGACTAATCTATCTTTAGAAAAAAGTCTTAAATCTGGACAGATATTTAGCCCAAAGATTGAAAAAAAAGAGGGAAAACACTATCAATAAAATTATTTAGAGCCAGGTATGGTGGCTCATGCCTGTAATCCCAGCACTTTAGGAAGCTGAGGTGGGAGGATTGCTTGAGGCCAGAAGTTCAAGGTAGCCTGGGCTACCTTTTTTTTGTAGAGATCCTATCTCTACAAAAATTTATAAATTAGTGGACGTAGTCATATATACATGTGGTCCCAGCTACTCAGGAGGCTGAGGTGGGAGGATCGCTTGAGCTGAGGAGGTGGAGGTTGTACTGAGCCATAATTGTGCCACTGCACTCCAGCCTGGATGACAGAGCAAGGCCTTGCCTCAAAAAACAATTTAGAAAATTATGATATATTCAGAGATGGAGCATCCAGCAACCAATTAAAAATAATTATTTACAAGGAATGTTAAATGACATGGGAAAACTTATGATGTTAAGTAATAGAAAAATACAACTTTTTATTTAATGAGATTCTAACTTTGTAAAACCATGTATAGAAAAAGGCTAGAAAGAAATATGTTAAACTGTTAAGAGTGGTGTCCTCTGAGTGACGGGATCCTGGAAGATATTTTTTGCTTTTTTTTATTTTTCTGAATTTTCCAAAATTTCTACAATGACTCTATATTAGTCCATTATTTTCAATAAGTATTAAAAATTATAAGCTTCAAATATATATAAATTTTGAGACAGAGTCTCGCTCTGTCGCCAGGCTGGAATGCAGTAGCACAATCTCGGCTCACTGCAACCTCCGCCTCCCAGGTTCAAATGATTCTTCTGCCTCAGCCTCTTGAGAAGCTAGGATTACAGGTGTGTGTCACCATGCCCAGCTAATTTTTTTGTATTTTTAGTAGAGACAGGGTTTCACAATGTTGGTCAGGATGGTCTTGATCTCTTAACCTCATGATCCACCTGTCTCAGCCTCCCAAAGTGCTGAGATTACAGGCATGAGCCACCGCATTGGCCTATAAGCTACAAATATTTTTATCCTAGCCCTGCTCTACAGCCAGACACTCTGAAAGTTTGATCTGATATAAAGGAAACATTTCTGGTTTGAAGGGCTTCCTTGTGTCAGAGCTATACCTACCTTTCTAGTTTTCTTTCACTCTATGAGTCAAATTTAGTCCAAAATGATTCCTGTACTTTTATCCAACAGGCATTAGCAGCTGATTAACACAATGAAGGAGCAGGGGTGAAAATCGCATTGTTCTAGACAATAAGCAATCCGGAGCTGACTTCAGATTTACTGCTATGATTACAGTAAATTTTAATTTTAAAGTCGAATTTTATTTAATAAGCTTTTAAAACTATTTCTGGAACTATCTTCAACCTTTCTCGTTTTAAACCTGTTAAATGTAAATTTTTGGTGCTGCAAAAAAAGTAGCACTCAAATATAAATTCTCTCAGCAAATCTATTTACTTCTATAGAAGGGTATGTCACACAGACGGAGCAATGGTGGGCACACACCTGGATGAGAGAGGGGAAGGGGATCTAATTCCTGACACAGGTAGCCCCTATCGCTGTGTTGCTCCCCTTTGGCTATGGTCAGACCACACAATCTAAGCTAATCCAATTGGCTATTTTAAAGAGAGCAGGGGTATGAGCTGGAGTGGTGGGGTGGGTAGTTTGGCAGGAAGGACGATTACGGGACAGGTCAGAGGAGGTGACCATGGGTGACTCAGGTCAGAGCAGGTGACCAGAGCAGGTGATCAAAGCAGGTCACTAGGATGAGTCAGGATGAAGCCGGGGACCTGGGTAACAGATGTGAACTACTGATTAGAACTGGTGGGAAAGATTGTTTACTCAAATTACAAGGAAGTTAAACTTTAAAATGAAGAATTAAAGAATAAGAGAGCTGAACATATTGACATACTGATTCTTTGAAGAGAAACTTGGAGTTCACTATATCTAGCAAACTAAACTTGACTTCTGAATTTTATCTCTTTTCTCATGGGCTTCTGCAATTCTCAACTTCTTCCTTTTGTAACTTTTTGAGCTCAAAATATTTTTTTCATTTTCCTTTAACTATACTGTCAGTGACAATGTTAGTGTTTTAAATATATTTCCTTAAAGTTCTATGGTATTTTGGCTATTGAATAGGTCTGTGATTTGTAAAGTGCTGAACTTCTCAAAAAGTACTTTTTGAGAAAGCTCTCTTTACTTAAAACAAATCAAATTAAATATTCATACTATATCCTACAGGCACATTATATTATCCTGAGCAACTTTACTTCTCTGTCAGTTAACTAAAAACCTCAGTTAGCCAGGGCTATTCAATGCTTAACTGTTACTATATTTAGCTCTAAATTTTACCAATGAAGCAATAATACAAGAGTTAAAAAGAAATTATTTAGGCAGGTAGTGAGGGTACAGGAGTCTGTACCTTTTCTTTTCTTTTTTTTTTTTTTTTTTTTGGAGACATTGTTTGGCTCTGTCCCCCAGGCTGGAGTGCAGTAGCACGATCTTGGTTCACTGTAACCTCTGCCTCCCGGGTTCAAGTGGTTCCTGCCTCAGCCTCCCAAAGTAGCTGAGGTTACAGGTGCCTGTCACCATGCCCGGCTAATTTTTGTATTTTTAGTAGAGACAGGGTTTCGCCATGTCGACCACTTTGGTCTTGAACTCCTCACCTCAGGTGATCCACCCACCTCAGGTGATCCACCCGCCTCAGCCTCCCAAAGTGCTGGGATTGCAAGTGTGAGCCAGGGCACCTAGCCAGCCTTTTTCTTTTAATAAAAAACAGCTCCTCCATCGCTTCTCGGCCTTTTGGCTAAGATCAAGTATAAAAAACAGCTCCAAAACCATTTCTTTTCTAACAAAAAGCAGCCTGACAAGCGGAGCTGCAAGCATAAATAAGCAAGCTGGAAGCTTGCACAGATGAATGCCGGCAGCTGGACTAACCCAATATGGCGCTTTTCTCTCCCTTTTGTTTGTCGCCATGTGGGGGGTGTCATGGTGCCAACCAGGTAAAGCCAGGTGTGTGGGTGTCATGGCGCCAGCCAGGTAGAGGCCATATTTGCATAATAAAAATTAGGGCGGGAGGGCCAGTTTCTTCTTGGGCTATGTACATGGCACACTGGTCCAACCAATCGCCTGGGCCCTGTGTAAATCAGACACTGCCTCCTCAGGCCTCCCTGTACAACCTACCGCTTCCCCACAACAAGCAGGGTTTTTTTTTTTTTTTTTTTTTTTGAGACGGAGTTTCGCTCTTGTTACCCAGGCTGGAGTGCAACGGCGCGATCGCGGCTCACCGCAACCTCCGCCTCCCAGGTTCAGGCAATTCTCCTGCCTCAATCTCCTGAGTAGCTGGGATTACAGGCACGCGCCACCATGCCCAGCTAATTTTTTGTATTTTTAGTAGAGACGGGGTTTCACCATGTTGACCAGGATGGTCACGATCTGTTGACCTCGTGATCCACCTGCCTCGGCCTCCCAAAGTGCTGGGATTACAGGCGTGAGCCACTGCTCCCGGCCAAGCAGGGTTTTTTTTCCCTTCCGAGTCGTCCTATGTCTGTATGGAGGAGCTGTTCTCTTCTTTCCTGCCTATTAAACTTTCCGCTCCTTAACCCGCTCCCTGTGTGTGTGTCCTTGTGGTTAATTTTCTTGGCACGAGACGACCAACCTTGGGTATTTCCCCAGACAATGTAGCCGCTTCAGCAACCCAGTCTTTGAACTAGTGTAGAAATAAGATATGCATGGCTGGAACTTTCGTCTGTGTGTACACAGCTGCCAATTAAGTAACAATATTTTACCAGGAGATTACACCACCCCCGTTCTTTCATTTATTTAACAAAGATGTTTACTTAATACCAGACAATGTGCTGAGCACCCGGGAAACAGCAATGGACAATGCGGATTTGGTGCCTGTCCTCATTCAAGTCCTCAGCATCTTCTTCCTGTATCACAACAACGACATCAACTGACTTCCTGCGTTAGTCCTGCCCTTTTCCATCCAACCCATCCTGCTACCAGAAAGAAAGCACAAATCCAGTCATGTCACTGCATTGTTGCTAACATGTCAATTGGCAACTCTGCTTTACCTACAGAATACAGTCCAAATTACTTAATACAGCACCAAGTGCCTGTAATCTCCCTACCTCTCCAGCCTTATCTTTTACTCACCTATCCCTTTTCCATGCTCTTAACTTCCTCCCTACTTCCTTAAAGAGTCAGGCAAATTTATGTTGCTGTGTCCTTATTTATGCTACTCCCTCTGAATAGAATTTATCATTTCTCCATAGAGATGGGAAACACCTACTCATCTTCAAGATTAAACTTGCATTTCATCTTTCCTTAACTTTTTCTCAGCATCCCAAAACATTATTAATCTTGCTCTTACCCTACTCAACTTCTAGTGTAATACTTATATCATACTTACCTATTGACACATCTTTTTATGCCATGCATTTTAAAAGTGTGGGCCTTATTCTTTCTTCATATGTCCGTGCCCCAACACAGTGCTTTGGAATGAATAAATGAATGAATGAATGGCGACGTGAGATAACCGAGTATGTTTCCACTCTGGACTCTAGCACTCATCTATACTCTGTTAATTTCAGTCGATTTGTTTCTCTTTTCTACGTGTGAGTTTCTTCCCCTGTTAAATCAGGAAGTTTATCAGGTTCCTCCCACTAAATGTCATAAGACCTTGGGATTATAAACTCTCACTCACTGTGAGATGAATTAAATAGAATGTGATAACTACAACAGCCACCAGACGGCAGCAGAAGCTTAACCTTGGAATTTAGAACGTGCTCCTGTTTATCTAAAAAGCAAAACTAAAAATGTTTAATATAAAATGACTACATGCTTAATTAAAAATCAAAAATACTACATTTAAATCGTATATATAAATATTATAATTATATTTAGTACAGTGAGATATTCATACTGTAGGAGACAGAGAATCGAGGTGGGCTGAGTAGTCCCCACATTCCCTCCAGTTCATACTCTAGGCGATGTGCAATTTTGGTACATGAGCGAGTGAAATCATCTACACTGCTGAAAATGTTTTTCTTGTACTCACTTTTGTTTTCTGTCTGGGGTTGAGCGTGTGAGAGTGGCGGTAGTGGCAATGGTGGTGATAGTGATGGAAGTGGTGATTGTAGTCATAAACAGAATTCAGCTGTTGAATGTGCCCATAATGCAAGTTCAACTCCGATGTGTGAATTTATTTCTGCCTAGATGAGAGTAGAAATCCAAAGTTCACATTTTCACCATTGAAAGTTTCACCTGAGAATAAGACAAGGTAATAGAGGCAAAGTCACATGTTTGCAAAGCATAAAACCTTCAAATTCAGTCCTTATACAAAGGAGCTGTAGTATTTATCACAAGCTAAACCACCTACCTTGGAAGGACATAATGTGATTAAACAAAAACACTTTTAAAATACATGTGACATGAGACCCCTAATGACACAGGAGTCTTTCTATATGACTTTATTTATGTATTTTAGTGTCTGGCACCTTCTCCTTGTCTCTTTTCAGGGAATAAGATGAGCAGGGTCAGGTATTTCTTCCATTATTTTTTATTCAGCCTTTTTTTTTTTTTGAGACGAAGTCTCGCTCCGTCACCAGTCTGGAGTGCAGTGGCGTGATCTTGGCTCACTGCAACCTCTGCCTCCTGGGTTCAAGCAATTCTTTGCCTCAGCCTCCCTAGTAGCTGGGACTATAGGCACACACCATCATGCCCAGCTAATTTTTGTATTTTTAGTAGAGACAGAGTTTCACCATGTTGGCCAGGATGGTCTGATCTCTTTACCTCATGATCCGCCCACGTTGGCCTCCCAAAGTGCTGGGATTACAGGCATGAGCCACGGTGCCCAGTCTATTCAGCCATTTTTATTGATACTTTATCATGTACCAGGTCTTGTGCTGGGTGCTAAAGGTATAAGGATGAATAAGAATGAATAAGTAGGACATGGACTGTGCCTTAAGGAGCTTAAGTTACAGTGCCATGATGGAGAATACAGTATGAGGTTTGGGGATGCTGCTTTCATAAAGAGGTCCTAACACATCCTTTTCTGGGGCACCTGCATCAATTATATTTTAGCAAAGAAAAATTCACACATGGCTGGGAGCTGTGGCTCACACTTGTAATCCCAGCACTTTGGGAGGCTGAGGCGGATGGATCACCTGAGGTCAAGAGTTCGAGACAAGCCTGGCCAACATGGCGAAACCCCGTCTCTATTAAAAATACAAAAATTAGCTAGGTGTGGTGGCATGTGCCTATAATATCAGCTACTCAGGAGGCTGAGGCAGGATAATCTTTGAACTGGTGAGGCAGAGGCTATGATGAGCTGAGATCATGCCATTGCACTCCAGCCTGGGCAAAAAGAGTAAAACTCTGTCTCAAAAAAAAAAAAAAAAAGAAAAAAGAAAGAAAGAAAAATTCACACACATGATTTTAAAATCCAGTAGTGGATGTGTTCATAAAGGAAAGTGAATGCCCCTGTTCCCACCTCTGTGCATCTCTGCTTTCTCAGTCACTTCTGCTTTTAGTGTTTTGCATATCTAAATACTATGTTTCTGTTTCTTGATTTGTAAGCTCTAGAAGTTATCTATTCATTTTTTGTATTGATACATGAAGATTCAGCTCATCTTCACTAGCCCTCTTTCCCACTTCTTCCCAATATAGTTATATCTTTTTTGTCAATACAATTATAGGACACTTTTTCATTTTAATTAAGATGCATGAACTTCTAGTGTTGTTCTATCAATTACATATAAAATATCTTGCTCTCCCACTTTGTAAAATGAAGATGTTAGTGCCCCAATTCTTTCTTCTACTTCTTTTTCATCTCCAAAATTCTCCTGTATTTTCTTTGGCAGGGTTGATAATATCTATTTGGCAACCATAATAAAGACCTCTGTTCTTTACCTATAACTTGGTTCTATAAGTTGAAAACAAACATTTTCATTGTGTCGATATTATTTATATAGGGCTAAATAGTATACTGTAATAACTTTTTTTTTTTTTTGAAACAAAGTCTCACTGTGTCGCTGAGGCTGGAATGCAGTGGCATGATCTTGGCTCACTGCAACATTCACCTCCTGAGTTCAAATGATTCTCCTGCCTCAGCCTCCCAAGTAGCTGGGTTACAGGTGCCCACCACGCCTATCTAGGTTTTTTTAGTAGAGACGGGTTTTGCCATGTTGTCCAGGCTGGTCTTGAACTCCTAACCTCAGGTGATCCACCTGCCTTGGCCTCTTGAAGGGCTGGGATTACAGGTATGAGCCACCACGTCCCGTCAACATCTTTCTGTACAGCGCCAAAGTCTCCCTTTTGTATCACAAAGAAAAATTGATTTTCTCTCCTTTTTTTAATGCCTAATTCTCAGAGTCAGACTGCATTTTACTTTGTTTCATTTTTGGACTGTGGTTTCCTTGAACATTTTTTCCTTAGAATTCCTTATTGGGTTTATCTTTTTCTTGCTGTATGAAGAAATGTGTCTTCTTCACCATACTCCTATCACTTTCCAGCTTCCTACACATTCAGTCTATTGCTTGGAATCTATTCCATTTTTTCTTCTTGAACCTACTGGCTTTTCAACAGGGATTCATTGCAGCATGTATGAACCACAACTTTCCCGTAGTCTTATTATTGCTGTCCTTCTCTGCCTGGGAGTATTCGTTTACATACTCAGACGCTGCTTCAGTGCTTCCTTGGGTTGAATCCACATTTTTCCAGGTTCCACTTACTTTCTAAGAGTCTTTCAAGTTATTCCATCTATACAATTCCATCCACATACTAGTGTTCTAGCAAATGAAATCCTGTTCTTCATGGACTTCCCTCACCAGCCCAGGATAGCTTGGAAAGAACTAGCATGCAACACTGTCACTTAACATTCTACACTGACTTACTTTTCTTCCAGCATGTACTCTCTATTTAAAAACAGTTGGGTATGATGGTTCACACCTATAATCCCAGCACTTTGGGAGGCTAAGACAAGTGGATCACTTGAGGCCAGGGGTTCATGACCAGCCTGCACAACATGGTGAAACCCCATTTCTACCAAATTAGCCCTGCATGGTGGCACAAGCCTGTAATCTCAGCTACTCAGGAGGCTGAAGCAGAAGAATCGCTTGAACCAGGGAGGCAGAGATTTTGCAGTGACCCAAGATAGCATCATTGCACTCCATCCTGGATGACAGAGTGAGACTCTGTCTCAAAAAGAGAAGAAAAACAAAAAACATGTTGTCTTATTCTCTGTAAACCTTTCTTAGGTATATTGGTTTCAAGGACACCAGGTAGACTTCTATCACCAACATTTTTGTGTGTGCTATAAACGATTTTATGTTTGTGTAACACTTTGTGACTCCTGTTACAAAGAAAAGAGATGTATATGTTGTCAGAATAGCCAAAATTAAGCCACTTTCCCTGGGTACATGCCAGTCTCTTCAGAGAGTAGGGACACAGGACTTACTGTAAAGAAATTAACAAAAGATAAAATTTTTACAGGGTTCTCTTTTCCCTTCCTCAAATTAGATTGTACAACTAGAATCTTGGAGATGCTCCTGTTCTCTTGTCAAAGGTCCTTCCTAACACATTTTCCTCCACAGGCCCTCAGATCCTGATGATTGCAGTCTTCACCCTCACTGGAGCCGTGGTGCTGCTCCTGTTCATTGCTCTTCTGATGCTCAGGTACCACCACCTCTATCCTGCCTGTGCTCAGTTTCCAGAAAGGCAAGGAGGGAAAGGGGGAGAGGTCTGTTGTCTGTTGATGATGATGCTTCCTCACAGAAAGCTCTCTAGACTGATCTAAGACAATGAAGACATTCTGCATCAAAGACTATGTGAAGGGCAGAGTATCACTGAGTGAATAGATTAGGGCTTTGGAGCCAGAGATGCCTGAACCCAAATCTCAGTTCTTTGAGTTACTAGTTCTGTGGTCTAAAGCAGGTTACTTAGCAACTTAAACAGATAACTTAGCTTTGATTTCTTCATCTGAGCTGTTTTAAGGATTAGAAATGGAACATACATACAAACTACCATGTAATACGCATTATATAAATGAAAATAGTTATTTTTATTATTTTGTTGGCATATTGTGGGAGACATCAAACTTATTAAATTGCATGATAGTTAGGCTGGAGGAGGTTTTAGAAACAATTTATTCCAAATCTCCTATTTTAGCCTGGGGAAAGAGAACCCAGAAAGTCAAATGGCTTCTCTAGAATCATATCACCAGGTAGCGGGTAGGGCCAGAACTAGAACTCAAGCCTTCTCACCATCAGTTCCATGATTTTTCTGCTTAACTTGAGTCTACCAAATACCTAACTAGAGACATTGTGTGTACTAAGAAGTATTTGTTGAACACATAAATGGGTGAGTAAATACCACACTACTTCCTAATCTGCATATGTTTAACACCAAACTTCTAATACCGATTATGTTACCAGGTTCACTTGCATTTCCTAGCTAAACAAGACGACATTTTATCTGTGCATCACACACTTTGGTCTGTGTGTCACTATATACTTTCTCATGTGAGTGTCCAGCCTGCCATATACTGGTTGATGTTTTCTCCAGAAAAGGAAGTAAACTATTTTCTTCAATCTGACAGCAGTGCTTGGCTCCTGTAACTGTGTTTCTCAGAAATACAGGAGGTGGTCTACAGTGTGTGGTGACCATTTAGTGAAGAGTGAGAAGAAACCAAAATTTCCCCCAAAAAGCAAGTCTAAATGGAATCAGTTTAAGTTAGGGGTAAATCACAAGATCAAAGATAATAACAGGTGTTTCTCATTGTCTCTAAACATGAGAGGCAGAGATGGGGCTTTCCTAATGGCCATAGCAATGCTATGCCCATGAGGTGGCCTGGCAGAGAGAGGTACGCATGCAGTTTGCCATTACAACAGCCTATGCAAGAAAACTAGCAAACCCCTAATTCAGTATGAATGACAGTTGGCTCTGTTGGGTCCCAAGAGTCTCCTGGGGTACAGAGGTGAGACCCCAAGAGCCTTTAAGGTCTTGATATTCATCCTACTTGCCTTCAGGTCTTAGGGTCAGTATTTGCTATTTTACATGCATTTACTTGAAGAATACTCAGACAGAAGCATAAGAAGAGAATAATCATCTCTGCTTAGGAGACATTAAGGCAGGCATGGCCTTAAGAAGGTGTGTATAAGTTTGTCAAATAACCAAAAAGCAAAGGCAAACTGGGACAAAACAGGTTAACAGAAAAGAATACCAGTTCCAGAATCAGATACAAGCAAGAACTTATGAAATGACAAGGATGACAGTATGTGTTAGTTAAGAAATGATGTTGGTAAAGTAGGCTTTCCACATGTAAAAAAACAAAATTAAAACACTATCTAAAACAATACACATAGTTTACTCTATGTGGAATTTTAAATGTTAAGGCCCTCAATATGAAAATCAAACTTCAAAACTTAGAATAAATTAATAAAAATGACTTTTAAAAAGTATTTTTATTTTTTTGAGACTGAGTTTCACCCTGTCACTCAGGCTGGAGTGCAGTGGCACCATCTTGGCTCACTGCAACCTCCACCTCCCAGGTTCAAGCAATTCTTAGAGCTTGGCCTCACTAGTAGCTGGGATTATAGACATGCGCCACCACACCTGGCCAACTTTTATGTTTTTAGTAGAGACAGCGTTTCATCATGTTGGCCAGCCTGATCTCGACTCCTACTTGGCCTCCCGAAGTGCTAAGATTACAGGTGTGAGCCACTGTGCCTATCCAATAAAGATGAATTTATGATCTCAGGTTAGGAAAGTACTTCTCAGTCAAGATAAAAAAGGAAAAGCCATAGAAAAATATATAAATATGACCATAATAAAATCAAAACTTTCTGTAAAACAAAGTTAAAGGAAGTAATAAATTAAAAAAATGTGCTTGCAAAACACAAGGACAAAGGATTTATTTCTCAAAATATATTAAGAACTTATGTAAGTTAACAAGGATAAGAAAAAGACAAATTAGATACTAGGAAAAAATGAGCAAAATTATAAATACATAATTCTATATAATTCTGAGTCTGTATATTCTATTAAATAGCTAGAAAATATTTGAAAAGATAATCTCACTAATAACCAAGAAAATGCAAAGTAAAGCAATAATAAAGTAAATCATTTCGCCTACATCATAAAGGTTAAAACTGTATCAATACCAAATGTTGATAATAAAGAAAATGGGAATTCTCAAAATAAGAAGGTAAATTAATTCATAACCACTGCTTTGGGAAGCAATTTGGTGATATCTATAAAGTTGAAAGTTTATGTCCCCTATAGCCCAAGAATTCTGCTTTAGGTATTTTTTAACCACCAGCAGTCCCCAACCTTTTTGGCATCAGGGACTGGTTTTGTGCAAAATAATTTTGGAGGGAGTTTCAGGATGAAACTGTGTCACCTCAGATTATCAGACATTAGTTAGATTCTCATAAGGATAAAGAGTGCACATCCCGGATCCCTCACATGTGCAGTTCTCAATAGGGTTTGCGCTCCTATGAGAATCTAATGCTACCACTGATCTGACAGGAGGCGGCAGTCAGGTGGCCGCTCACCTCCTGTTGTGTAGCTTGGTTACTAACAGGCACAGACTAGTACCAGTCCGTGGCCCAGGGGGTGTGGGCCTAATCCCCAGCCTACACTGTCTGGGGACCTAGATTATCTGAAGAAAACTATACATGTTTAACATTTGGTAGTTGAGATAGGTGTTGTTACATTTTCTCTGTACTTTTCCATTTTCTTTAAACATATTTTTTGAAAAGGCACAGATGGGTAAGAGGAACTGGCTTATTTAGGGATCTGGTGTATTCTCTGTGGTTTAAAAAATAACATTTTTGCCTCTCAACTTTACCAACTTAACATTTTTTTTTCCTGTACTTTTTCCTCACTCTTTCTATGTCATCAGTTTACTGCCTTAGGGGAGGACCTGGGAAAGTGAAGTGAAAAGAAAAGAAAGACTAGGAAACAGGGGTCCCCAGTTCCCAGTCCGTGGCCTGTTAGGAACCGATCACAAAGCAGGAGGTTAGCGGAGGGGAGCGAGCATTACTGCCTGAGCTCAGCAGGAGAATCAGATCCACACAGGAGTGTGAACCGTATTGTGAACTGCACATGCAGGGGGTCTAGGCTGCACACTCCTTATGAGTATCTAAGGCCTGATCTGAGGTAGAATAGTTTCATCCTGAAACTACCCCCTTCCACTTCCATGGAAACATTGTCTTCCAGGAAACCAGTTCCTGGTGCCAAAAAGGTTGAGGGCCACGGCTATAAAAGCCCGTCAGAAAGCCTTGCAGGTCCACTGGTGGTCAGCACTTTACAGTTTGGAGAACATGGTGTTCTATCATCGAACTACCTTCCCTCATGCCCATCTACCTAAGCATACCATGGTTCTAAATTTCTGCCAGTCTTCAGAACGTGAATGGTGTGGATACTAATAAAAACCTATTGACCCATCTATTCCGTTCACAGAAAATATAAAAAAGATTATGAACGTCGTCAGAAAAAATGGTCCCACATTCCTCCTGAAAATATCTTTCCTCTGGAGACCAATGAGACCAATCAAGTTAGCCTGAAGGTAAGCCTACCTTACTTGTTGAAGAATGGGTGCAATTTGCCAGGAATTTGACAAAACTTAGGTAATGCTGCAGGATTATGTGCCAAGTACGGATAGTTATTCTAGAAAGCAAGACTTGGATGCTTTCCAGTTTTCAGCTCTCTCGCTTCCCCTTGATTCTCCATTCTCCTATGTGTCAGCTAGTTATATCCAATGAGCATTTCCCTGGAGGCTGAGATACGGTGTGTTTTCATTTTTTGCATCTGATCCAGAAGAGAAATACACATACTGGGAATTTGTCATGGAAAGGATGTAGGAATGGGTAGAGGATCTGAGTTCCCTTAAACCTTAGAAACCAATCCATCCATACTAAGGACCTATGACTTGTCTTGCTCATTCCTGAAGAAAGAGGCCTCTGCTTATATTTGCTTACATTCCCCTTCAACCAGGAAATAGCAACAGCCAAAAATAACTTACTCCATTTAGCACAGTCCATGCAGGACCTATGCTGTCTCATCTACTCCTCACAAGAACCCCCAATTAGGCTTTATCATCATAGTTTTGCTGATAAGGAAACTGAAGGACAAAAGATTAAGAAACAGAAAAAAAAAAAAAAGAAAGAAAAAACAGTGCAGGGTCACATATACCTAATGAGTAAGACTACTATAAGTGACAATAGCTAACACTTACTGAGCACTTACAACGCACCAGATGCATTAACCTGTTTCATCTTCTCCTGAGCACTGTGAAGTAGCAGGGCTGGAATTCCTGGAACACAGCTACAATTTAAACCCAATCTGTCTAACTAGAAAGCCTGAGATTGTAACACCTGCCATACACCATATAATTATCCTAGTTTGTATACCAACTCATATTAAGAGGATATGGAGATCCAAGACCTCCACAGATGGGAATTTGTGGACTCCTTCAGAGTAGGGACAAACTGATAGTGTAATGTGATTTGAGATGCTTCCTTACTTAAAATCAGCAGCAATAAAGTTGCACTTGGTTTAAGGTTGTCTCTGGAGCCTCTCTACCAGCTCCTGATGCTCCTCTCCAAGTCCTGCGTGCTGCCCTCTAATGGCTCAGGTCTCCTCATGGCTATCGGTGGACAAAGTCTTTCCTTCTTTCAGAAATATAACATGCTCCAATGTGACCTTCCTGCTGCATTCTGAAGTCTTCCCTTCTTTCAGAAATATGACATGCTCCAATGTGACCTTCCTGCTGCATTCTGAAGTCTTCCCTTCTTTCAGAAATATGACATTCTCCCAATGTGACCTTCCTGCTGCATTCTGAAGTCTTCCCTTCTTTCAGAAATATGACATTCTCCCAATGTGACCTTCCTGCTGCATTCTGAACCTCAACAGAAAGATTATATTCACAAAGACCAATCTGTCTCAGCCAAGTGTCAGGACGGAACCAATTTAACAGTAATTTGCAGTCAGGTGTAAATGACCTTAAGACTACTGAATTTCCAAAGAGAGAATTTATTGACCTAAATGACAAACTAGAAGTACCTAGTGTTAAAAGAAAAACTCTGGCAGACGAAATAGAATTTATTTGAGCAAAATGTGATTCATGAATCGTGTAGCACTCAAAACCAAAAGAGGTTCAGAAAGTTCCACTCTGCAGCATGGGCAGTGAGCTTTCATAGGATGTACAAGAAAGTAAAGTACACAAATGACTTGATTGGTTACAGCTGGGCATTTGCTTTATTTGGGCATGGTCTGTTCAGTTAGCTGCCTGTGATTGGCTGAAACCCAGCCATTTGTTACAAAAATAGACTCCTAAATTAGTTTTCAGTTTGCCTATATACTAAGTTAGGTTGCAATTTATAGTAACTCGTGATACAAAGACAGCCTCCTGCCAGTGGTCTCCTGCTTATTTGAAATAACACTAGGAAGAGGAGAGGGGACTTTCAGAAAGAGCATGTGCACCTCTGTCTCTGTACAGCACCGGATGGGCTCCCACACGCTCCACCTCTGCCTAAATCGAGCCTTAGTGTCACTCCTCAAGCATCTCCCCACTGCCTCAAAACCCCATATTTCATATTTTCTCTTTTGGAGTAAGCCAAAACATGTGTCTCTGTGTGTTTTCTTAAAATATAAATATTTCTAGAAGTATAATTCATCCATTTCTTGTCAGTTTCTATACAAAATTTTTATGAGTACAGAATGTTTACTATTTCATCAGAATGAATGAGTCACCTGGCTAAGGAAATAGGTCTTTGGGATAGTAAACTCAAAGGAGGGAAGTTCGAAGTGATTTTTATCATGTTATCATTGTTAATCTGAGTTTTAGACAGGCTGGGAAGCAGATGGATCAGAAATTGGCTGTACAGAGAGTTCATCGGGTGCTATGAGTCAGGTAGACATAGAGAAATCCAAGGTCACCCAAAGTGAGCAAGGGTGGAAAATACCATACAGCCAGAGCGGTAGTGGTTCAAGTTTGGATACTCACTGAATGCAGAAATAGGAAAGCGAGACTAAGAGAAGAGATAATAGAGAGTTGAACATCCCACTGCTAGAACAGGAAGTGTCAGAATATCAGACCAAAGGTTCCAGACAAAAGAAGTCAGGAGAGTCAAAGAGATAGAGTAACATAGGAAAAAAATAAGATGATCATTCTTTTGAGGGTAAAAAGAGAAGTCCTTTAGTAGCAAGAGAATTTCACACACCTTGTTTCATTTAACCCCAAACTATTTCTGAGTTGGAATTGTGAGGGAAGGAACTGAGGTCCAAATAGTTTAAATAATCTCCTCAAGGTCTGAAATAGTAAAAAGGGCGCTAGGCAGGAAGACAAGCCCAGGTTCTGCCATTCTCTTTGTATGTGACATTTAATGTCCTGTAATCCTTCTATACTTTATTTGTTAAATGAGAAGAAAATGAAATGACCATAACTGCCAGTCTGCAGTGGGCATCATGCTTGGACCTTGAGAGAATCATTTCACTCATATTTCAAAATGGCCTTGTAAGGTAAATTTTACCAAAGATAATAACACATCTCAGAGTTTTATGAGAATCACCCTGAAAGATGCAATTGTTCCCAACCTTTCCTCTGTCTTTAGAACAGAAGTCATTACCTGGGAGTCTGAGAGCCATATCTGGTCTGTAGTTGCAAATGCATGCCTATGTGCATATGTGTGTTGTTGTTGTTCAACATTTAACATTTTAAAAATTAATTGCCAACATACAAATATCATGAGATAGCATATAAGAATTCTTATTACCAGCTTCTTTTGACAAATAAGATGATTTAGCAGCTTCGGGCTGAACCCAGAGCTGATAAGACTGCTTCCCTTAGACACTTGGCCCAGTTTTCTCATTTGCATTGCTACTTGGGCCTTTAGGCATGGGTGTGCAACTCAAATGGACAGCATCCTTTTCCCTGAGCGTGCGTCTGTAGCTACACAATTCCCACGAAAACGGGGTTAGGGAGAGGGGAGCAAAGGAGATATCTGGTTGAAGTAGGGCCACAGGAGGAAGGGAGGAAACCCACAGTCAAATGTGAGAGCAATAGATACCTGCAAACATGTTGGAGTTCAATTAGTGAGAGGGAACAAGTCAATTACAGCAGCTTGTCTGGAAGCCTGCCCGCCCGGCATGCTGCTGAGCAAACAGATGCAGCCACCTGGAAGAGCCTCTCGGCCTTTGACAGTCAGTGGGTAGGAGCAGATATGGAGCTTCTGGAATAATCAGCCTTTTCTTGTGCCAGATTGATGATGACAAAAGACGAGATACAATCCAGAGACTACGACAGTGCAAATACGACAAAAAGGTGACCTCTCCCACTTCTCTGAACTCTCCATTGGGGTATGCTCTGGGCCTTCTGACCCCTCGTTGCCTCGGCCCCTGATGTCAGTATCACAATGGTGGGAATGCCCAGGATGTTCCCAGGGGCTGTTCTTAGAGCTTCACAGGGATGGGCAGGGCAATGCTTCAAGAGTTACAAAACTCACAATCCTGGGGAAATTGGAAGACAAACAGAATATTGGGGAAGGGTGGAGTGTAGGAAGAAAAAGAAAATATAAAAGACATTCAGAGTAGTCAGGGCAACCCTAGTATTGTGTTTTGGCTCATAACTGAGACATACAACAATCCCATATGACAGTTTTGCATCTTATTTCCATCCTTCCTTCTTCCCTCCCTCCCTTCTGCCTTCCTTCCTTCCATTTAATCATTCTTGAAGGAACATTCAGGCCTGAACTTACATCCCAGGTACTAGGCACCAGGGATATAAACATCAATCAAGGCCAGGCATGGTGACTCATGTCTATAATCCCAGGACTTTAAGAGGCTGAGGAGGGTGGATCATTTGAGGCCAGGAGTTTGAGACCAGCCTGGCCAACATGGCAAAGCCCCTTTTCTACTAAAAATACAAAAATTATCCGGGCACGGTGGTGCATGCCTGTAGTCCAGCTACTGGGAAGGCTGAGGCACGAGAACCATCTGAACCCAGAAGGCGGAGGTTGAAGTGAGCCAAGGTTGTGCCATTGCACTCCAGCCTAGGCAACAAAGCAAGACTGTCTTAAAAAAAAAAAAAAAAAAAAAATCAATCAAATACTGTCACTGTTCTCAAAAGCTTACAGTCTAGTGAGACATACAAGCAAACTATTATAATATGCATTTAAAGAGTTATACTACAACCGTGTCTCCTAAATTTCATTGATTTTTGCAGCGAGTGATTCTCAAAGATCTCAAGCACAATGATGGTAATTTCACTGAAAAACAGAAGATAGAATTGAACAAGGTATGTAGCCCTTACTTCAAATCCTTGAGAAATAATTTCACTCCATTTCTTCTAATCACTGAGGTCGCTAGTGGAGTAAGAGGCTGACAGAGAAGCCCTCAGGCCAAGAAATGGTGGCTGCACTTCTTGTTGAAAATTCTACCACGAGATATTGGAAAGTGAGGTTGTTGGTGTAAAACATTCTGGAAATCGACTAGTCTTTCCTAGAATGTGGACCTGATATTATTGGAAAGTAAAGTTTGTATTCAAGTCCTCTTACTGACAAAGGAAAGATTATTAAATGAGGTTGATACAATGTGTGATAAGCAAGGGTATTGATGTTCAGTTTATTAAGAGCAATACGTCTTCTCAAAGATCTGAAACAAAACTTGTTTTATTGGCATATTAATTTTTACGTTGGCACCCCATTCTCGCTAATCTGCTTTGTAAACAAACACGTTCTTCCAGTTGCTTCAGATTGACTATTACAACCTGACCAAGTTCTACGGTACAGTGAAGCTTGATACCATGATCTTCGGGGTGATCGAATACTGTGAGAGAGGATCCCTCCGGGTAAGAAACCATGGTCATTTCCAATTTCCTAATTATGTGAAAAATATTCAGGCAGGCCTTTTAAAATATTTACCGAGCAAAATAATATTAGAAAGTTATCAGGGAAAGTTCGTGGGCTCACATGCTTTCCAAACTAGATCCCCGAGATTTTTTCAGTCAGATTATGTTTTTATAAACAAGCGAAAAAAAATTTCCGAAAAACGATAATAGATTTTGGGAGAGGAGTAAACAGAGAATGGAAGTGGAAAAGTGAGTGATTATCTCCAAATACATATTGTTTTACATGAATACTTGCTTTTGTATTAAAAGAGATATGGATAATTATTATGATAGCACCAAATAAGTATTAGAAGACTTGGTCATCATTCTTGGTTCTGCTACGGTCCAAATTTATACTCCACTCTTGGACTGATGATCATCCAGGAGATGCCAAGCGAGGTCAGATATTTGGACTGTGCAAGTCCAAAGCAGACAGAGGAACTAAGAAAAAAAAACAAAAATATGGCCAGGTACGCTGGCTCATTCCTGTAATCCCAGCACTTTGGGAGGCCGAGACAGGCAGATCACTTGAGGTCAGGAGTTCAAAACCAGCCTGGCTGACACCGTGAAGCCCCATCTCTACTAAAAATACAAAAATTAGCTGGGTGTGGTGGCAGGCACCTGTAATCCCAGCTACTCGGGAGGCTGAGGCAGGAGAATCACTTGAACTGGGAGGGTGGAGTTGGCAGTGAGCCCAGATCACGCCACTGCACTCCAACATCAGCAACACAGGGAGACTCTGTCTCAAGGGAAAGAAAAAAGGCGAGAATATTAGCTTTCACATTATGTGGTATAAACTCAAATCTTCCTTCAAAGAAAAAAAATCATAGCCCTAAATGTTACTATCTCTTTTAAAAAATTATTTCATGCTTGTTATTCTAACGTCTGAGAGCTATTTCTTTGGATTACTGTCTATGAAAATGCAATAGTGGTACAAGGAAAAAGTGACATATTAAGCCATCAACTATATTTAACACTTTGAGAAGAATTCATGTGCTATATAACAAAAAGGAAAGCAAGCCCGTGAGGGACCGGTGGAGTGGAATGTGGTAGAGAAATCCAGAGCAGGGAGCTGGCCATGGGAAATTAAGATCAAAGAGGAAAACGGTGCTAAGGTAGAAGTTCTTTAAAAATAATAAACAATTTAAGTATTCAATGCAAAATTTAGAAGAATAACTATAACATAAGGAAAGGAAATTATTAAATATCATTATAAATCAAATAAAATAGGATAGAATTTTAAAATGCACTTGCAACTTAAAAAACAAAATTACTAAAACACACAAGCCTTTCACTTCCAGCAATGATTTAAAAAAAAAACATGCAAATACACAAAATTGGGAATAAAAACGCAGTGAAAAGATGTTTTTATTGCGAATGGATTTAGTGTTTAAAAAGGGAATGTTTCAGAAGCAATTTAATCATGAAATCTGTTTCAAGAAAGTAAATATTTAAACAGGCCAATTCTGAAATCACTTTCAAGGAATAATAAGCCATGTGAAACCCTTTGATCAGGCTCTATTAATTGGTATTCTAAAATTTCTGTCACATTGGAATTAAATGAGAGTATGGTTTAGACCTCATGTGAAAAATATTTCTGATTTTGAAAGACCTGAAATAGTTGTTATTATTATTCTTAGAAATGTGTATTTATTTTATTTATCAGCGTCAATTGATATGATCACTTTTATCATCCATTAAAATGATCATATGGATTTTTCTCCTATGACTTTTTGATTTAGTGCATTATAATAATATTTTCCATTCATAGAATTAACCATATTCAATTGTTTGTGTTATGCTTTTTGTATACACAACTGGCTTAGTATTTCTAGTATTTTATTATATTTTTTCATCTATATTCACAACTATAGTTAGCCTTTAATCAGATTTTAGTATCAATCTTATGCGAACTTTGTTAAATGGTAAATGAACTTGGAGTATGTTCATGCTTTTGTTTAACTTTAGAATAGTTTTTATATAGATAATAAGAATTACTTTTGCTAACTTCAACGTTAAGAAGAATTAAGCTGAATTTGGTGTTCTTTGTATGGGAATTATATTTTATTCTATTGTTATTAATGTAATATTTTGATATAGTAAAAATATATTTTGTCTTCATCCTTGATTCCTAAAACTATTTACTGGGTGGTGGGGGAGAGGAAAGCTCTTTTGTTATTCATAATAACCCCCTTTCAAACATACCTGAGTTATGCTACTTAAGATATGATAGCCATGGAAGATTTCTCTGACAAGATGACATTAAAGTAAGACTTGCATGAAATGAAGCTGTGAAACCATAGCTCAAAGAAGAGGATACCAGCTTTAATATTTGCTACCTATTCTCAACAAGGAAAACAGTGGTTAAATGGTGATATGTCAGAGAATTCTCAGATCTCATTTCAGAAATATTCCTAGGCTCCCCATAATCACAACTCTTGCAGAGTTAAGAATTAAACAATACCTCCTTAGCATTGCGAAGGCTGTCTGTCATAAAATAACAACTAACTTCATTTCTATTAATGCAAGACTCCCTATCCCCACCACTGCACTACTGTTTGTTAACTTCTGAAAGTTCTAACCAAAGCACTAATGCATGAAACAGAAATAAGATATACAGTCATTGGAGGGTGTTGACATAAGTAACAGAGAGACGCTCTCTAAAAGAAAGATATTTTGGAAAAGAACATTGTAATGGGAATGCCTGTGCCATCATAAATTATATGTGTATTCAGAGAGGTAAAGGAAGACAAAGGATTTTAAAGGAGGATTACATCATTGTTTTGTTACCAAGATCAGTAGCAAGGATGATGCCAGTCAGAGGTTGGACAGGCAGTTGTTGGGCGGATGTCTTTGTATAAGTGATTTCTGTGTAAGGTTGTGATAGCCTTTGTGCAAGGTTGAGGTTTCTGTAGCGTCTTTTGTGATAGCTTTTTTATTAAGCATGCAAGCATGACAACCCTCTTTTTCATGGCCTTTTCTAGCTGTATTTTTCAGGATTTTTTTCAACATTTGTGACTCTATTCTGATTTTGACAACTTTCACAAAAGCAATCGTCTTTTTGTTTGTTTGTTTGTTTGTTTTAATTTAAAGTTGAGACTGGGTGCAGTGGCTCATGCCTGTAATCCCAGTGCTTTGGGAGGCCAAGGCAGGCAGATCACAAGGTCAGGAGTTTGAGACCAGTTGGACCAACGTAGCAAAACCTCATCTCTACCAAAAATACAAAAAATTAGCTGGGCGTGGTGGTGAGCACCTGTAATCCCAGCTACTTGGGAGGCTGAAGTGGGAGAATTAGTTGAACCCAGGAGGTGGAGGTTACAGTGAGCTGAGATCCCATCATTGCACTTCAGCCCCAGTGACAGTGTGAGACTCCGACTCAAAAAACAAATTAATTAATTAAAATACATAATAAAGGTGATATGATTATTTACCTAGAAAATGCAAAAGCCTCAAATACTAAAAATTGTAAGAAATTTGTATGATGACTAGAAACAAAATAAGTATATAGAAAATAATTTACATAATGTATATAATGTATATATCATATGTATTAGCCAAATCAGTCAGAAAATACAATTCAAAAAATCCTATGTAATATTTTCAACAAAAATATTTATTTGAAAATACTCAGCATGAAATGCAAAGATCAGTTAAGAACGCTAAAAGTTTTCTAAGGCATTAAATACATCTTAACAGAACTTAGTCAAGTTCCTAAATAGGAATCAATGGTATGCTAGAACTGGCTGGTACTAGGTCAGAGCTGATTGTTAAGTTATTCAAGAATTTGCCAGCCAGTCAGCGTTAAACTTTTGGAAGCTGAACGTAGTCAGTAAGCACATTATATATCAGGGCTGTTACTAATAGAGAGCCAGTTTACCAACACTGCATACCAACTAATTCAATCTGAAAATATATAAATTTTTCTGAAAACAAGAAATTTGAAATCAAAGGCAAAGACTTTTCTTAACAGAGCTCATCAGAAATATATATATGTGTGTGTGTGTGTATACATATATATATATATATACCCACACACCCGCACACACATACACACACACACACACACACACACACATCTATACAAACAATAATAACCAAAACAGTTTTGAAAAGAAAAAATTGAGAGGCCACTTGCCAGAAAGTTACTATAATCAAGCAGTGTGGTGACAGCTCATGAGGAAGCAGGTGATTTATGGAAGAAAAATATATGGGCCAAGAATAGGATTAAGTTTATGACAAATGTAACTAAAGAAGTGTACTTTAAAAAATGGTGCTGAGATAATCAGGCCTGCAAACTTTTCATTCTCTCTTCCGCAAAATGTTCTTTTCCCATGCTGTTCCCTCTCCCCAAAATTCTTGCCTCCCTACTTCATTTGATCTCAGCTCAACAGCCATTTCCTGAAGGAAGCCATCTTTAACCTTCATAACAAACCCCAGATTTTAGGGATCAAATCCCCAGATTTTAGGCAATTTTTCATAGTACTTACCACAGTTATAATTGTATGTTTATTGGTCTGATTATTTTATGAATGTCAGTTTCCTTCATAGACTGTGCACCCTATAACAGGTCCCATTATAATCCCAGCACCAGCACAGTCTCTGGTCTAGAGGGAACACTCAATAATTTTAAAAAATAAATACACAGGTCACCTATTAAAATTGCTCATAAAATAACATATAAGTCTGCATATACATTATGATCTCAATTTTATAAAATTTATTACATATATTTTCCATATCTACATTAAAGAAGACTGGAAGAAAATATCAAAATGAGAATAGATAGTGCAATTAGCAATAATTTTATATTCTTTTTTATATTGTATAATTTTTTTTCACATTTTCTATAGTAAACATCTATTCCTTTTAGTATCAAAACAGAATAATATACTTTTTACAATTTGGCAGATGAGAACAGGGTAGGATGGGTGAATGGTGAGCTAAGTGGAGAGAAAGCATAGAAAAGAATTAGTCTGTCTGCCCATAACTCCCCTCTGTCAACTTAGCCGGATATCCATAGCCCAGCCAGCCTTATCTGAAATGATTAAGGACTTTAGACCCTTCCTTGGAAATTCTTGGTACAGTGCCTGAGTTAAAACTAAAAATCAAATAAGGATTTTTCCTAAAATAAGAAACTATTTTTATCAGTTAGAGTCCAATTTAGAGTTCTGTGAAGAACAGTTATGTATTAGCTTAATTAAAATCCTGCAACTTGGTAGAACCATCATCATATTAAACTAGTGACTTGAAAATTCCAGGTATAGGCCAGGCGCAATGGTTCTTGTCTGCAAACCCAGCACTACGGGAGGCTGAGGCAGGCAGACAGCTTGAGGCCAGGAGTTTGAGATCAGCCTGGCCAATATGGTCAGACTCCATCTCTATTAAAAATACAAAAATTAGCTGGGCATTGCGGTAGGTACCTGTAATCCAAGTTACTCAGGAGGCTGAAGCAGGAGAATTGCTTGAACCTGGGAGGCAGTGGTTGCAATGAGCCGAGATTGCACCATTGCACTCCAGCTGGGCAACAGAGCGAGACTGTCAATAAAGAAAAAGAAAGAAAGGGAAGGGAGAGGAAGGGAGGGGAAGGGAGGGGGGGAGAGGGAAGGAGAGGGGAGAAAAAGAAAGAAAGAAACAAAAAGAGAGAAAGAAGGAGGGAAAGAAAAGAAAAAGAAAGAGAAAGAAAGAAGGGGGGAGGAAAGAAGGAAAGAGAAAGAAAGGAGGGAGGGAGGCAAAGCAGGAAGGAAGGAGGGAGGGAAGGAGGGAAGGAAAGAAGGAAGGAAGGAAGGAAATTATTCCAGGTCATACAATTCACAAAAAATGCAAGATCTCTCTTATTGACAGAGGACTTAGTAAACTCAAAAACAAAACAAAACAAAAAACCAAGAGCAATTAATCTAATTGATATAACTGATTATGTGAGTAAAAACACAAGCCTAATGAAGAATTTTCTTATAGTAATTGCCTGTTTTAAAACATGGGTCCAATTTAAATGAGACAGAACACACAGGGCAGCCGCTTGTTAAGCAGTCTTCCCGCCTGCTGCTTATTCCTCTACACCTGTCTGATGGAAGAACTGAAATTTGGGATGCTATGGGTATCTCCTGCTCATATCCTGGTGGCAAAAACCACCCAATGCTTCTTATGCAGAAAATAGAACAAAAATAGGTTGATGAAAACCCAGACAATGGAATTCCAATTTGTTCCTGATCCTAAGGTCTCACAATTAGAAGATAATTATTTGGTTTATAATAGTTTCTCCACAATATCCTTTCTTGCAACAACTTTTCTTTTTATTTTTTCCTATTCAGGAAGTTTTAAATGACACAATTTCCTACCCTGATGGTACATTCATGGATTGGGAGTTTAAGATCTCTGTCTTGTATGACATTGCTAAGGTAAGGGAAATGTATACACACACAGAATATGTGACAATTAAATATAAGAAAACAGATGGAATAAGTTATTCAACCTTCTGTGCACTGGTTTTTTTCATCTGTAAAATGATACTAATAGCTACGTTAGGGTTGTAAGATTTTTGGTTGTGAGGATTTTGTGAAATAATGTACAAGTAATGGTACAAGTAAAAGTTCAATATATATCAGTTATTATTATTTTTTATTATATTCTTCGTAGTCTGGGTGTGGGGCATGTAGTTTCATAGATTTTCCAGAAATTAAAATCATATAAAACTACAAGAAAGACAACTGGGCGGGGCGTGGTGGCTCATGCCTATAATCCCAGCACTTTGGGAGGCTGAGGTGGGAGGATCACCTAAGGTCAGGAGTTTGAGACCAGCCTGGCCAAAATGGCAAAACCCCATCTCTAGTAAAAATACAAAAATTAGCCAGGTGTGGTGGCGGGCACCTGTGGTTCCAGCTACTTAGGAGGCTGAGGCGGGCACCTGTGGTTCCAGCTACTCAGGAGACTGAAGCAGGAGAATTACTTGAACCTGGGAGGCAGTGGTTGCAATGAGCCGAGATTGTGCCATTGCACTCCAGCTGGGCAACAGAGGAGACTGTCAATATAGAAAAAGAAAGAAAGGGAAGGGAGGGGAATTCCCATCTCCTGGGTATTGCTTGAACCCAGGAGACCGTGGTTGCAATGAGCTGAGACCACGCCACTACACTCCGGCCTGGGTGGCAGAGTGAGACTCCATCTCAAAAAAGAAAAAAAAGAAAGAAAGACAACTGAATCCTCAACTTCATGAGAGAAAATATTAAGTATAGGCAACCATCTTGCAGGAATCAATAATAAATGTGGACATGTATATTTTCAGATGTGATAGGAAAATCAAAGCGGACACCAGTAACCAGGGCCTCATTCAAGAATGAACACAAGTTGGTTGTGAGAGGGAGCGCCTTGATACAGTCTTAACTCACCTGAAAGTTATATGGAATCAGAATCAGTTTGAAAGAAGTGTTACGAAAATTGATTTGCCACACACATTTCACTCCTGTGATCCAGGCTGAAAACCAGCTTCGGCTGAGACACCCTCTAACCACCAGAGAGAAGCACACCAGCCAAAAACAGGCTTCCTCTTTTTTATTTTTTATTATTATTTTTTTTGACATGGAGTCTCCCAGGCTGGGGTACAGTGTAATGATCTCAGCTCACTGCAACCTCCACCTCCTGTGTTCAAGCGATTATCCTGCCTCTGCCTCCCAAATAGCTGGGATTACAGGCACCTGCCACCACGTAATTTTAGTAGAGACAGGGTTTCACCATGTTGGCCAGGGTGGTCTCGAACTCCTGGCCTTAGGTAATTTGCCCACCTTGGCCTCCCAAAGTGCTGGGATTATAGGCATGAGCCACCGAGCCAGGCCAGGCTTTCCCTTTTGAAACAGAATGAATAAAACATTGTTTGAAAATAGCATGAAACCAATTTCATTTTAGGAAATAATCTAGCCTGACACCCCCACACCTTCAGAAAGGCAAGGCACTGTTATTTATATTTTTATTTTAAATTGATGTAACAGAGGACCAGAGACCTACCCAGGGTCACAGTCCAAATAAGTGGTAAGCAGAAACACAAACACACACACACACACACACACACACACACACACACACACCTCTTTGCCTCACAGTATATACAACTACTTAACCAGAGATTTTAGACAATTCTCTTTTACTCTGTCATTCAAATAGACTTTGAAACTAGATATAATATATAGGCAAATATTAGGACTTCAGTAATGTTGTTAAAATAAAAATAATGAGACTAAAGTTAAAATCTGATGGTGTGACTGCTAAAATGATTTCCAAATGTCACTTTTTTCTCTAAAATAATCAAGCAGCTGAAATGTGTCACATTTTTATTTTTCTATCATCTGAAAAATTACAGGGAATGTCATATCTGCACTCCAGTAAGACAGAAGTCCATGGTCGTCTGAAATCTACCAACTGCGTAGTGGACAGTAGAATGGTGGTGAAGATCACCGATTTTGGCTGCAATTCCATTTTACCTCCAAAAAAAGGTCTGTAATGAATGAAATGTTCATTCATTTCCCAACTGCTTTTTTTTTTTTTTTCAAACACATGTGGAATGGTCAGGAAATTGTGATCACTGATCAGAAGATAAGTACTTAAAGCCACAAGAGGCAACATCTGGTTTGTTCTCCAAAACTTCACACTTGTCAGTCAATGAGTACTTCCCGAGTTAAACAAGTGTCCTCTGTGGATTGCCTTCATCCATGTGTCCTTTGATACAACTGAGAAATCATGAATAACTTAATGGCTGGTGAGAACAGAACTAGGTGAAAAAAATATAGAAGGTTAGAGCAGGAAGAGACCTTAGACATCATCTGATTTAAACTTTTTCCTTTATAGAGGACAGCACTGAGACTCAGATTTGTCCAAGAAGGTAGAGTAGAAACCAGAAGACCCATTTCCCATTAGGGACATCATTCATTTATCTGTGGTATTAAGAAATGTTAAGAAAAAAAAACTCTAACTAGTACAATATATTTTTACTTATCTCTTTCAGGATTATGGTGAGAGTGAAAAAAGATAAAATGAATTTGTGAAGTATAAAGGGCTTTTCGTGTTGAACATTTACCCTTACCCTTTTCTTTATTATGACTCACAGTTAAACAGACTCAGATACCTAGCACTAATGTTGCCTTAAAATACTACCTAAATTCAAACACTAAATTCTACTTCTAATTCAACTTGGCAATCCTTTTGTCTTTCCTTAAAAAAAGAAAAATTGAAATTCTGTCCCTACATCCACAACATGTCAAGCATAATATAATATTGGACTCAATCCAATAATTTCTTATCGAAGATCTGTGTGCCAAGCATGGTTCATGACATAATAGTACAAATTGTCATCAGATAACCCAACATGACACAAATCAGATAAATTACAGGTCAAATCCTATCCTCTTGAACAGCACCCACTTGTAGCTACCTACCTATGGCATTGGTTACCTGAAATTTTAGCATAGATTTACTTACCTTTTCTACAGCCCTTAACCTTTATAATCAACTATGCATCACAAGCCACAAAAATTTACAAGACATAAATTTGAAAAGGTGATGTAGATTTGGACAGAAAACCAAACAAGGAAAATGCACATCATCATAAACATATTATCGCACCTAAAAATATGAATCTATAAATGTTTCATTGAAACTGGTGAATATAAATCTCAAACGTTTGTAAGGAGCTACGTGATCCTGAAAAATTTGTGAAGTATGTTAAAGAAAAATTAATTGCATGTCCCTGTTATTACTAAAGATGTGTTATAAGGATTCAAAACTGGAGTGTCTCTAGGAGCTAAATATAGCATTGCACTAATGTGAAGTGAGTGAACTAGACGTAAACACTACGGAGTGGCAGAGACACGAGTAAACTATGAGTAAATTACATTCATTACTTTTTAGAGAATACTGTGGGAACCAATGAAAACACCTCTGTGGACACTAGCTGACTTGGAGGCTGCCAGTATGTTACGCCTAGAAAATATCAGTGATAGTCTTTTTGTCTTAATGTACTGTCTTTATCTTCTTTTGGTAAACTTATGTTTAAATATATATACACATTAAATAATAAATCATAATAATTTAAATAAAATATATTTAATATACATAAATTTGTAATTAGGATTTCATAGGTTTATTTCATATGTCCCATAAACTACTAAATTCCTTAACTTCTCATATTATACTGTATTCATTCAACATATATTTACTGAGCAGTTACTACAATAAGACCCCATTCTAGGTAAACCTTGAGCGTTTTCAAGACAGTGATCCTAGCAGATTTCAATAACATATTGCCATATGACCTCACCCAAATCCTAACATATCATAGTTAGTCTAAAAGGTGTGTTTTCTCCTTTTTATCACCAGTATTAGCATAAATTTTTCAAAAGTTTGGAACCATATCAATTCACGGCCACTCATAAGCCATCACCCATATTTAGAGTGGATGGTGCAGGGAATTAGAGAGCAAAAGCAGGTTGGAGACCTATGAGCCACTCACCCCCCTCAACTTTGCAATCTCAATGTCTGCATTTACAGACCTGTGGACAGCTCCAGAGCACCTCCGCCAAGCAAACATCTCTCAGAAAGGAGACGTATACAGCTATGGAATCATCGCACAGGAGATCATCCTGCGGAAAGAAACCTTCTACACTTTGAGCTGTCGGGACCCAAATGGTACATCTGAATCCCTTCATGTTCCCCCTCTGGGAGCAAGCCAACCTGCCTTCTAGGCTTACTGAGACCCTAATCTGTTTGTGACCACATCACAATTCCTTCATCTGCAAAATTAATGATTTCTCATCTGCATTACACATTTTACAAGAGTATTAGGAAGATTAAATATTAGAGTGCACTGAAAATCGTAAGACAACATATACTGCCAGGTGTCATTATTGTTGGTACTATTGTTAAGAATCTGCCTTTACAATTCTCTTCTTTCCTTCTGATTCCAATAAGAGAATGTGCCTGCTTAACACCTAAAGTAGATTACTCTAACAGGATGACATACATATTTTAGTTCTTACTAAGAGTAGATCTATAGATTTCGGCCACATGTCCTCTCAGGGGAAAATGCATCATCCCATTCATTCAATCCTCATTTATTAAGCATTTATTATGTGCTAACTGCTAACTGTTTGGTAGGGAATAGGGTAACTACAGGATGTAGAGAGGGTGGAGTCATAGTATGGACAGAAGCCTATTGAAGGCAGTGGTGTCTGAGCTGAGTTTTACAAGGTCAGTGGCATTTTTTCCCTTTTTTCTTTTCTTTCTTTCTTTCTTTTTTTTTTTTTTTTTTTTTTTTTTTTTGAGACAGTGTCTTTCTCTGTTGCCCAGGCTGGAGTAAGTACAGTGGCATGATCTTGGCTCACTGCAACCTCTGCCTTCCAGGCTCAAGCAATCCTCCTGGCTCAGCCTTCCAAGTAGCTGGGATGACAGGTGCATAACACCACGCCTGGCTAATTTTGTATTTTATGTAGAGACAAAGTTTCATTATGTTGCCCAGACTGAACTCCTGAGCTCAAGTAATCCCCCAAACTTAGCCTGCCAAAGTGCTGGGATTACAGGTATAAACCACTGTGCCCCACCAAGTAGCCTATCCTTAAGGTAACCTTCTGGTTATAAGTGGGATGAGACCCTTTCACTGGGTGCCTCATTGAATTAACACCTGTATATTAAGTGCTGGTCTAGGCTCTGCAGCACTCTCACTGAACTAAGAGCCATCCAGGGGAGTGAACCAACTGGATTTCTGCTAAAATTCCTTCCATTTTTTCATGCTGTATTCTTCTTTGTAATTTAAATTCTTCTCACCCAATCAGAGAAGATTTTCAGAGTGGAAAATTCCAACGGAATGAAACCCTTCCGCCCAGATTTATTCTTGGAAACAGCAGAGGAAAAAGAGCTAGAAGTGAGTATATCTTCCCGTTTTCGTTTCCTTGGCCTGCTATATAAATTACCATAAATGTAATGGATTAAAACAACAAAAATTTATTCACTTACAGTTCTGGAGGCTAGAAGTCTGAAATCACATGCTCAGCAAGGGTACACTTCCTCCAGAAGAGCCAACAGGCTAATCCATTCCTTACTTCTTCCAGAAGTTTCTGATGGCTATTGACATTTCCTGTCTTGTGGTCACACAATTCAATCTCTGCCTCTTGGTCACAGCTTCTCTTCTGTCTGTTCTCTCTCTAGCTTCTTTCTATTAGGATACATGTGATTGCATTTGGGTCCACCCAGATATTACAGAATAATCACTGCATCTCAAGAATTTTAACTTAATTATATCTGCAAAGGCTCTTTTTCCAAATAAGGTAGCATTCACAGGTTCCAAGGATTAGGACGCAGCATGTCTTTGGGAGCCAGCCTCAGCCTACTACATTGCCCATGCCCTTCCTCCACTCCCCAGCTCAGGAATGAGGTAGTTTCTAAAGCACACATCTCATTCTATTTATTTTTTTATTTATTTTTTTTTTTTGAGACAGTCTTGCTCTGTTGCCCAAGCTGGAGTGCAGTGGCACCATCTTAGCTCACGGCAATCCCTGCCTCCCAAGTTCAAGCAATTCACCTGCTTCAGCCTCCTGAGTAGCTGAGACTACAGGTGTGTGCCACCACATCCAGCTAATTTTTGTATTTTTAGTAGAGATGGGGTTTTGCCATGTTGGTCAGGCTGTTCTCAATCTCCTGACCTCAAGCAATCCCACCTGCCTCAGCCTCCCAAAGTGCTGGCATTACAGGTGTGAGCCACCATGCCCGGCCTCATTCTCTGTTTTTTAATTGATATATAATATTTGCACATATTTGTGGGGTGCATGTGTTATTTTGTCATATGCACAGAAAGTGTAATGATCAAGTCATGTATTTAGGGGATCCATCACCTTAAGTATTTATAATTTCTATGTGTTGGGAACATTTCAAGTCCTCTCTTCTAGCTGCTTTGAAATATACACACTTTTTGTTGTTAACCATAGTCATCCTACTCCCTTATCAATCATTATACCTTATTCCATTTTAGTAATAGTCATTCGAACTGGGGTAAGATGGTATCTCATTGTGATTTTGATTTGCATTTCCTGATGATTAGTGATGTTGAGCATTTCTTTATATTCCTGTTAGTCATTGGTAAATCTTCTTTTGAGAAATGTTTATTCATGAGTTTTGCCCACTTTTTTTTTTTTTTTTTTTTTGAGACGGGGTCTTTCTCTTTTCGCCCCAGCTGGAGTGCAGTGGCGCAATATCAGCCCACTGCAACCTCCGACTCCTGGGTTCAAGCGATTCTCCTGCCTCAGCTTCCTGAATAGCTGGGACTACAGGCGCATGCCACCATGCCCAGCTAATTTTTGTATTTTTAGTAGAGATGGAGTTTCATTATGTTGGCCAGGATAGTCTCAATTTCTTGACCTCATGATCCACCTGCCTTGGCCTCCCGAAGTGCTGGGATTACAGGTGTGAGCCACCATGCCCAGCCGAGTTTTGCCCACATTTTAGTGGGATTTTTTTAAACTGCTGAGGTGTTTGAGTTCCTTGTATATTCTGGAATATCATCCTTGTCAGATGAGAGTTTGCAAATACCTTCTCCCATTTAACAGACTGTCTCTTCACTCTTCTCTCTGTTGATTGTTTCTTTTGGTGCACAGAAGCCTTTTGGTCTAATATGATCCCATTTGTCTATTTTTGGTTTTGTAGCTTGTGCTTTTAAGGTCTTAGCCATAAAGTATTTGCCTAAACCAATGTCCTAAAGTCTTTTCTCTATGTTTTCTTCTAATAGTTTCACAATTTTAGGTCCTATGTTTAAGTCTTAAATCTATCTTGAGTTGATTTTTGTATATGGGGAGAGATGGGGTATCCTTCCCCCAGTGTATGTTCTTGGAGCCACTGCTGAAAATCAGTTGGCTGTAAGTGTGTGGATTTATTTCCGGATTCGCTATTCTGTTCCAGTGGTTTATGTGTCTGTTTCTATGCCAGTGACAGGTTGTTTTGGTTACTGTAACTTTATAGTACATTTTGAAGTCAGCTATGCCTCCAGCTTTGTTCTTTTTGCCTGGGATTACTTTGGCTATTTGGGCTATTTTTTGGTTCCATTTGAATTTTATTATTGCTTTTTCAATTTCTGTGAGAAAATGACAGTGGTATTTCCATAGGATTACAATGAATCTATAGATTGCTTTGGGCAGTATAATCATTTTAATGATATTAACTCTTCCAATCCAGGAGCATGGGATATCTTTCCATTTGTTTTTGTCCTCTTCAGTTTCATCAGTGTTTGTAGTTTTCCTTGTAAAGTCTTTAACCTTCTTTGTTAAATTTATTCCTAGATGAGGTTTTTTTTTTTTTTGGTTTTTGGCTTTTTTTTTTTGTAACTATTGTAAATGGGATTGTATTCTTGATTTCTTTCCTGCTGAGTTAATTATTGGTGGTCTATAAAAACACTACCGATTTTTGTATGTTAATTTTACATTTTTCAACTGTACTGAATTTATCATATCTAAAAGCTTTTTGGTGAAGTCTTAAGGTTTTCTAGATGTAAGGTCATATCATCTGCGAAGAGGGACAATTTGACTCCCTGTTTTCCAATTTGGGTGCCTTTTCTTTTTCTTGCCTAATTGCTCTGGCTAGTAATTTCAGTACTATGTTGAATAGGAGAGGTGTCTTTGTATTGTTCCAGTTGTTAGAGGGAAGGCTTTCAGCGTTTCCCCATTCCATGTGATGTTTGTAGGTTTGTAGTATACGGCTTTTATTATTTTGTGGGTATGTGATATACGGCTGGCCTTTATTATGTTGAGATATGTTCCTTCTAGTTTTTTGAGAGTTTTTATCATGAAGTGATGTTGAATATTATCAAATGCTTTTTCTTCATCTATTGAGATGATCATATGGCTTTTGTTCTTCATTCTATTGATGCAGTGTTTCATGTTTATTGATATGCATCTGTTAAATCATCCTTGCTTCCTGGGGATAAATCCCGATTGATCATAGTGCATTATCATTTTGATGTGGTTAGATTCCATTTGCTAGTATTTTTTTGAGGATTTTTGCATCTATGTTCATCAGGGTATTGACCTGTAGTTTTCCTTTTTTGTTGTATCCTTGTCTGGTTTTGGTGTCAGGGTAATGCTGCCCTTGTAGAATAAGGGAGAATTCCCTACACTTCAATTTTTTGGAATAGTTTGAAGATAATTAATTAGTTTAGTTCTTCTTTAATAGTTTGGCAGAATTCAGCCATAAAGTCATACAGTTCTGGACTTTTCTTTGTTGGGAGACTTTTTATTAGTGATTCAGTCTCACTACTCATTGTTGGTCTATTCTATGGCATTTTACATTTTCCTGATTCAATCTATGTAGATTGTATTTATCTAGGAATTTCTCCACTTCCTCTATATTTTTCAGATTGCTGGTATATAGTTGTTCATAATAGTCTCTGATAATCTTTTGCATTTTTGTGCAATTAGTTATGTCTTTTTCTAATTTCTGGTTTTGTTTATTTGGATCTTCTCTCATTTTTTTCTTGGTTAGTCTAGCTAATGGTTTACTGACTTTATCTTTTCATAAAAAAAACTTTTTGTTTCAATGATCCTTTGCATTATTTTTTCAATCTCTATTTTGTCTTGTTCTATTCTGATACTTATTATTTCTTTCCCTCTAATAACTTTTGGTTTGTTTTGTTCTTGCTTTTCTAATTCCTTGAGGTGCTTTGTTAGATTTGAAATTTTTCTACTTTTTTGATGCAGTCATTTATTGCTATAAACTTCTCTTTTACCAATACTTTTGCTGTATCCCATAGGGTTTGATATGTTGTGTTTTGATTTTCATTTGTTTTAAAATTTTCTTATATTTCTCCTAATTTCTTTATTGACTCAATGGTCATTCAGAAACATGTTGTTTAATTTTTATGTATTTGTGTAGTTTCCAAAGTTCCTCCTGGTACTGAGTTCTACTTTTATTCCATTGTGGTCTGAGAAGATATTTGATATAATTCTGGTTCTTTATAAATATGTTGAGACTTGTTTTGTGTCCTAATATATGGTCCATCCTGAAGAATGTTTCATGTGCTGATGACAAGAATGTTTATTCTTTAGCTATTGAATGAAGTGTTCTGTAAATGTTAGATTCATTTGTTCTAACATGCAGTTCAAATCCAATGTTTCTTTGTTAACTTTCTGTCTTTACAATCTGCTTAATGCTAAGAGTGGAGTATTGAAGTCCCCAACTATTATTGAATTGGAGTCTGCCTCTTCCTTTAGATCTAATAGTATTTGCTTTAAATGTCTGCATGCTTCAATATTGGATGCGTAGACGTTTAGAATTCTTATATCCTCTTGCTGAATTGAGTCCTTTACATTATATAATAACTTTGTCTCTTTCTACAGTTTTTTAAAGTCTGTTTTATCTAATGTAAGTATAGCTACTCTTGTTTGATTTTGTTTCCATTTGCATGGATTATCTTTTTCCATCTCTTTACTTTCAGCCTGTATGTTTCTTTACAGATAAGATGAGTTTCTTGTAGGCAGCCTATAGTTGGGTCATTTTTTTAAATCCATTCAGCCAGTTTATATCTTTTAAGTGAAAATTTAAATCCATTTACATTCAAGGTTATTATTATATAAGGGCTTATTCCTTTCATTTGATTAACTGATTTCTGATTGTTTTATACATCTTTTGTTCCTTTCTTTCCCATGCTTATCATTATGGTTTGTGGTTTTCTGTAGTGGTAACATTTGAGAACTTTCTCTTCCCTCTTTGTGTGATTGCTTTACTAGTGGATTTCATACTTTCATATGTTTTCACAGTGGTAGATGTCATCCTTTCACTTCCAGGCATAGGACTCCCTGATGCATTTCCTTTATGGTACGTCTAGTGGTGATGAATTTCCCTAGCTTTCACTTGTCTGGGACAGCCTTTATTTCTTTTTCATTTATGAAGAATAAGTTTGCTGGATATAGTATCCTTGACTGGAATTTGGTTTATCTTTCAACACTTTGACTACATCATCCCTTTTCTCCTGGCCTGTAAGATTTCTGCTGAGAAATTCGCTGTTAATCTGATGGGTGTTTCCTTATAAGTAACCAGAAACTTTTTTTCTTGCTGTTTTTAGAAATTTTCTCTTTAACTTTTGACAATTTGACCATAATGTGCCATGGAGAAGAACTTTTTGAATTATATATTTTTGGGGATCTCTGAGGTTCCTGTATCTGAATGTCTAAATCTCTTATTATTATTTTGTTAAATGGGTTTTCTATCCCGTTTGTTTTATCTTTGCCTTTTGGGACACGAAAAATTTAATTATTTAGCAACTTTATGGTGTCTGATGTATCATGTAGGCTTTTCTCATTCTTTTTTTGTTCTTTTTTCTTTATTTTTGTTGGATTGGATTATTTCAAAAGACCTGTCCTCAAGTTCTGAAATTCCTCTGCTTGATCTAATATATTGCCAAAGCTTTCCAATGTATTTTGTATTTTATTGAGTGGCTTCTTCAGTTCCAGAGTTTGTTTTATTCCTTTTTATAGTATCTTTTTCTTTGGCAAATTTCTCATTCATATCCTGAATTTTTTTTTATTTATTTGTATTATTTTTCTGTATTCTTCTGTATCTCACTGAGTTCTTTAATATTATTTTTAATTCTTTTTTGAGAATTTTATTAATTTCCTTTTCATTGGAAATTGTTGCTGCAGAACTACTGTGTTTCTTTGGAGGCGTCATAATTCCTTGCTTTTTCATACTGCTTGTGTCTTTATGTTGATATTTGTGCATCTGGTGTAACAGTTACTTCTTCCAATTTTTAAAATTTGCTTTCATAGGGGAGGACTTTTTCCCTGAAGATATATCTATAGTGTTGGTTGAGTGAGGCACTTTGGCTTTGATTCTGGGTACATGCAGAAATGTAGTCTCCACATAATTTGCTCATCTGTGAACAGTGTCAGTGGGTCTGTTATTTTCTTAGTGGGTTAGGATGTGATTACTAGTGGAGGCTGTGGGGAAGTTTGTTGAAGATTGGAATGCCAGGTGGGCCAGTCCTCAGACCCCCTTGGAGGCGCTGGTGCCAGCATAAGCTGTCTTTGGGCCCCAGGATATAAGCTGTCGTGGGGCCCAAAGACAGCTTATGCTGGTACCAATGTTAGTGGATCTAGGCAGATCAATTCTTTGGCCTCCAGGTAGCTTCCTCAGGCGCCAGCAGTAGCAGCAGTGGCCTAGGCTGGTGGGTGAATTCCCAGGTTTCTGGGTGTCAGGCATGGTGTAGGTAATGGAAGTAGCCAAGATAGGACAAGCTTCTGGTTCCCAAGCAGTCTGCACTGGTGTTGGTGGTGGCTGTGACAGGCTCGGCAGGCCAGTCTGCAGGTCCACAAGTGGTATATGCTGATGGGCACCAGCTGTGGTGGTAGCAGCAGGTTATGTGGCCCCCAGAAGGTGTGCTTAGGTGCCAACAGTGGTGGACTGGGCTAGATCTCTAGGGCCCCTGCACGATATGCGGAATCACTGGAAGAGTGGAAGTGAGCCAGGTGGACCTGTTCTCAGACCTGTCTTTAGTCTCCACCCCGTGGTGTGTACAGGCACTGGCTTCAGTAGGCAGGGGTCATTCTCAGTTTTTATAAGCTCAATGAACAAGGTGTTGGTGTGGAATACCTACTAGACTTACAAATGCCATCTAATCATTTAAAAGGAAATACGCCAACATCCAGAAAAAATCGAGAAATGTTCTTTTACTCATTTTATCCTTCCTCTGAAGGAAATGGAGCTTTTCTCTCTACATTTGCTTTTTTAATAGTCCCTCAAAAAGGCCTTGAAGCCCTGGGGAAAATTTCTAATTATTTTTTCTTTTAGCTTTTTAACTGAGCCTTAATAATCCAAGAAGATAGTAAAGTATTTTAAGATATTTATGGTGTTTAAACAAAAACATCTTTTGTTCCTTGCAGGATAAAAATAAAAACATTTTCACATTTCCATTCACAAAGACACTGCCAGATGAGTTTTATGGCCAGGCTCTGCAGGGCATGAGTGAGCCATTTTTGTCTCTCCCCTTCCCTTTCTTTTTCAATAGTAACAATATGTTGAAATACAACTTTCTGAAGTACAGCTGCTGCTAGCCCTGCCTTCTTCTCATTCCTTTCTTTCCTCCTGCTTTTCTGAATTCCAGGATTTCTTCACATAATCACCATATCCTTTCTCAAGTCCTTTTTTCTAATCTGATATCCAAATGTTTAAAACCTTTTCCACTAAAACAGCATCATCCTTAATTCATTTGTGTAGTTGGACAGTTCTGGAATTAGAAATAAGGAATAAAATTTCTTGTCAAGTAACTGATTCCAATAGAATACAGAGTTGAATCTAGATCACTCAGCAATGCCCCAAAAGCAGCCAATAGAGTCGTCCCTGTAACCATGGGGAATTGGTCCAGGAACTCCTGAGGATACCAAAATCCACAGCTGCTCAAGGATCTGATATAAAACGGCCTATTATGTGCATATAACCTATATACATTATCCTATGTACTTTATCTCTAGGTTGCTTATAATCTCTAATATGATGTAAATACTATGTAAACATCTGTGGTACTGTATTGCTTAGGGAATGACAAGAAAAAAAAGTCAGTACATGTTCAATACAGACACAACCATCCTTTTTTTTTCCCAAGTATTTTCTATCCTCATTTGGTTGAATCCACGAATGCAGAGCCCACAGAGACAAAGGGCTGATGATATTTCACTCGGTGGCACTGTATCGGCTCAGTTATTTGTTGTTTCTATTCTGCTTTAAGTCAGCAGATGAATTACCAAGGAAGGAGCGTCATCTAGTGTTGAATATGGGCAACCACAGGCTATACCGCAGCTTTAGTTCGTTCCCAGGAAATTGTTCAGGCAGTCCACGGACAGGGATTGGATCTGGTATCACTTATGATCTTGTTTTCAGCCAGAGTGAAAAACAAACTTTATTTAAAACAAGTAGTTTTCACCACACATTTGGATTTTTTTTTAAAAAAAAGCTGCAAACAGGTGGTACCAGGTAAGATGAGGTTCCCATGGGCTTCCTCCTGTCTCCCTACCTCCTCCATACCTTCCTTTTCTCCATCTCACTTCTCTACTGCAGCTGTGCATTATAATCACCTGAAAAGCTTAAAAATCTACAACTGCCCTTTGCCTATACAACGTTTGGAACAGACTTATACTCATGAATTATTCATTGTTTATCTGAAATCCAAATTTAACTTGATGTCCTTTATTTTCACTTGCTAAATCTGGGAACCCTACTAAGATCACTTCAAAATATATTAAATCAGAATGTCTTAGGGTGGGGGTGTAATAAATGGTGCAAATGTTCCCCAGGTGATACTATTGTTTGGTATAAGTTAGAACCATGCACAGTTGGGCTTGTATTCTCATTTGGAGCCATTTGTCTCATATTCACTGAGCCTTTGTTTCCTGACCAAACTGAGGGTTGGGCTGCTATTTCTCGTGACCCAATAATAAAATGCAGATGAACTGGGGAGGAAGTGAGTTTTTATTTCTATAACCAGTAACAGGGAGAAGGCCTGGAAATTATCACCAGACCAACTCAAAATCACAAAGTTTTTTTCAGAGCTTACATACCTTTTAAGCTATCTGTCTACATGTAAGTGTGCATTCATTTAAAGACATAAGTGATTAACTTCTTTTAATCTATAACTAAGGTCTGAGTCCTGAAGACCTTATTCTGGAGGCTCAGTAAGTTTACTTAATCTAAATGGGTCCAGGTGCTGGGGTGATTACCCTTATCTCGCCTCTTGCTAAATCATGGAAGTTTAGGGAGTTCCTTCAGACCTCCAATAAATTTGTCTGTGGAGGCCTGGGGAGTTTCTTCAGACCCCCAATAAAACTTGTTTAATCCTAAATAGGTCCTATTAAGAATTCCTTCATTATTTTGTCACGCTTTAAGGCCCAGGAAAGGCCTAGGAAAAAGTCTTGGTGGGCTTTTGTTACATTCCGGCCTTTGTATAACGGCACTGGTTTTCAATACTTGACTTAACCACTCAGTCAGTACTGAAACGGTTGTGATGGAGGCCTGCTACACCTTCACTATTTTTTGCCCTCTCTAACATAAACCTTGCACGCGCTTGCAAATTCACTCAGTCTCCCGTTCCCTATCAGCCCAGCCTCATCTAAATTGGTATCACATTTTTCATTAATTTTACCCAGGGGAATAACTTGATAACATAATGCAGGTGGGCATGCCTGAGACAGAAACCAGAGAGCTGGGGATCCCTTGTCTGCACTGACATAGTTGAAGATATTTTTTAACTATTTTTTTGCCTTAATCACTCCTATGAATGAGAATAAGAATTCTCTCTCGATTTGGTTTACTATCCCCTGAGCTTATTTGCCTGTTTTTTTTCTTCCAGGTGTATCTACTTGTAAAAAATTGTTGGGAGGAAGATCCAGAAAAGAGACCAGATTTCAAAAAAATTGAGACTACACTTGCCAAGATATTTGGGTATTGCTGAAATGTTTACTTTTATTCACTCATTTCAAGGATTTTTTTTTAATGAGAGTTAACATTCAGTGGCACCTAAGAATGAGAATGTCTTTTCCAGTGAAAAAAAATCCCAGGTTGCAATCAACACCTTTCTCATAACATTAAAATGATATGGAGATTATCAGACTATTTTCCCAGGGAAATAATCACTTGAAAAATTAAATACTCAAGGTCAAATTTTTCTGATTAAAAAATAAAACTTTAGCTGATTATAAATTTGACTGTTAAAAATAGAGCTTCTGGGTGCTTCTGTGGGTAATTAGGATTTTGAAGTGTAGCGTGAGTCCTGAGAATCTGTGAAGATCCTATAGAATTCTTAACATTGGCACATTCTTAGGACCTTAAAATCTTAAAATCTCCAGCTTTGGCCCTAGGTACTTAAAACATGTTATGAATCAGAGCATAATTCAAGGTGGGGAGAAAAGTACACTATTATCTAGTGAGATTAATTTCTTGATATCCCATGTTTTCAGTGAATACGCTGCAGAATGAGAAAAATAACACTGAATTAAGAGTTAGGAAATCAAATTTCTAGACTAAGATCTGATAAAAATTTGCCATGGGGCGTTGGGCAAAACACATACCCTCACTGAGTATCAATTTTCTTATTAGAAAAATTGGATTGAACAAGATGATTTTTGTGATTTTTATTGGATTAAACAAGATGATTTTTTCCAGGTCTTTCTGTACTTCTCATTAGGTTAAAGGATTCTGATTCTTAATGAGACTAAAAGTCTAGGGCTGGAGGAGATGAAGTGAAGTGAAGTTAATGGAAGTGTGGTCGTTAATAGGTAGAAGTAGGCTGTTAATTGTTGGAACAGAGCAGGAAATAATAAACAATTCTAGCCCTCTTTTTCTCCCCTTTGCTGTCCTGTTACTAAGATCAGATGAGACTTCATGTGTGACAGATGAGACTTCATGTGCTCGTGAAGAAACTGGGTCCTTGATACTCAGCCTATAAAGTGTGCTGGTTCTCAGACTTAGCTGCAGCTTGGAATCACCTGAGGAACTTTAAAAATACTGATACTGGGGTTTTACCCTAGAGAGGCTGATGTAATTGGTCTGGGGTATATGCTGCTGTAAGGATTTTAAATCTCTCCCAGGTGATTAAAATATGCAGTTAAAGGTGAGAAACTGTTTTAATTGAATCAATTCATCCTGTAGTAAGATTACTCAACTTCATCTTTTACACCTGCTCCCACATCCATGCTACCCAGCTAGACTCGGTACTGGCAGGGTCAAGTAAAAATTCCCTGGGGAACTTGTTAAACAATTCTGTTTCTTAATTCCAAGCCTAGCAATTTTCAGTCACATAGGTCTGGGGTAGGGCAGAAAAATGCACTGGATTTTTATCAAATATCTCTCCTCATCCCAGCGGATGATGTTGTAGGCCATCTTCTCTTGAGCCCAGAAGTGATTGTTACTGTTGTAATAAAGAGTGAAATGACTGTTATTTATTCAGCACATTCAATTGTGCCTTAGATGTTATGAACGTTATCTGTGATCCTCACAGTGCTAGGAGAACTTGATGTGTCTCCTCCCTGGCCTCTGCACCAAGGCTTGTCATACCTCCCACTGTCACACAAAGCTGGCATCTAAGTCTCCTTGATCTAACAAAATAATCCAGAGTTAGGCTTCTGGGGTTAGGACCCTGACTCTGTACTGGGGCGTTAATATAAAACTTGGCTTGGCTTTTCTTAGTCCTTCTCCTATACTTTCATTTATCACTTTGAGACCAGTTTTTAAAAGATTTTCCTTTATTGCAAATTGTTTATTTGGTATTTTAGAAAATACAAATAAGCAAGCAAGAAAGTAAAACATCACCTGTTTCCCAACAGGTGACCACCAGTTTTAAAAAAATTGAATTTTATGATACAAATTAAAATGTTAATGTTCCATTGTCCTGTCATATTTTAACTACATTTTTGTTACACATTTAGATTATTTTCAAATGTTCGTCTTCAAAGAATACTGTGACATTTTTTGTTGTTAACTCTAAACACATTCATGATTGTTTCCTTAGGATAATTCTCAGAAATAGTTATAAGCTGATTGGTATATGCATTCTTAAAGCTAGTGACATATATATGTGTGTGTGTGTGTATATATATATATATATATATTTTTTTTTTTTTTACCAAATTGCTCTTCAGGAGAGTTTTGTACTATATATATTTCCTCCTTCTCTTACATTGATTACCATCATTTTTTAAAATCATTTTTGTCCTAAGGTTAAGTTAGTTTTGTTGTTGTTGTTGTTGTTTTTTTAGTCAGAGTCTTGCTCTATCACCCAGGCTGAAGTGCAGTGGCACAATCTTGGCTCACTGCAACCTCCGCCTCCCAGGTTTAAACAATTCTCCTGCCTCAGCCTCCAGAGTAACTGGGACTATAGGCATGGGCCAATAGGCCCGGCTAATTTTTGCATTTCTAGCAGAGACAGGGTTTCACCATGTTGGTCAGGCTGGTCTCAAACTCCTGACCTCAAGTGATCCTCCCGCCTTGGCCTCCCAAAGTGCTGGGATTACAGGCGTGAGCCACCAAAACTGGACAAGGTTTTTTGTTATGTTTGTTGGCTTTTATTTTTCTTTAATTATCTGTTCATCATATTTGTCTATTGTTTTATTGGATATTCATGTTTTCATAATAATGGATAAGAGCTCTTTATCTATAACTACCTACAGGCTTTTTCATGACCAAAAAAATGAAAGCTATATGGATACCTTGATCCGACGTCTGCAGCTATATTCTCGAAACCTGGAGCATCTGGTAGAGGAAAGGACACAGCTATACAAGGCAGAGAGGGACAGGGCTGACAGACTTAACTTCATGTTGCTTCCAAGGTAAAGCAAGTCTTGCTGATGTAGAGACTGAAACCTTCAGCATGTCCTTCTGCATTGTTTTTCACTGTATCTATATAGGATTTGTTTCCTTTTATATATTCTTCAGTAGATTATTGGTTTTAAAATGCATGTACTTTGCTAAGCATTGTTCCAGTTTGTACTCCACTAACTAATGTTCCGAAAGTCACCCAGTGAATGGCAGAGCTGGAATTCTACCCAAGAGGCCCGAGCTAGAGCCCCTGATCTGCTTTAGCAGCTCTGACCTCAAACTCTCAAGCCTGTGAAAGTCAAATCACCTGCAAGAAAACTTGAAGGCAGATCACAGCTTCGGGGAAGGGAGTTGGAACACAGTTGGCAAGTGGTGTCTCATAACCTTGTGATAGAAGGACAAAACCCATGAGGCCTCAGAGTGCCTGGAAACAAGATGGAACCCTTCATATTCACTTCAGGGATGATAATTTCTGTCAGAGCTCCATAAATATTAGTTACATAATGCATAATTCCTTGCCTGGTCTTTAATGCTGAGTTGTGACAAAAACAACATCCTAGTTATCCGGCTGTCTTCCCAGGGTTTCAATGGCAGTGATTTTAACCACCGTAATGTCACTCAAGTGGCTTGAATCAGCTGGGTCACCATTTCAGCTTTTTTCCTAGCCTTGGTTCAATATGCCACTTGGACCACTAGATGGTGGATGTTTTTATCAGATTCCCAAAAGCTCTATCACACAAGTCTCTTCAAGAGCCACAATACACCATGGTGTCACCACAGCTCACTTTGGTTGTTTATGTAAAAATTATATTTGCAAGATAAAACTAAAACATGCATGAGTGATAACTAGAAGAATAAAAAAGAGATATGTATAGCAAAGGGAAATAAACCTAAGATTGTATGCAGGAAACAGGTATCACTTATTTGAACAGTACTCCTTGGGGTATTTTAAATACATTAAAATAGATGTTACTTTTTTTTTTGTCATTGTTGTTGTTGTTTTGTTTTTTTCTTTGAGATGGAGTTTCACTCTTGTTGCCCAGGCTGGAGTGCAATGGCGTGACCTCAGCTCACTGCAACCTCTGCCTCCTGGGTTCAAGCGATTCTCCTGCCTCAGCCTCCCAAATAGCTGGGATTATAGGTGCACGCCACCACACCCAGCTGATTTTTGTATTTTTAGTAGAGACCGAGTTTCACCATGTTGGCCAGACTGGTCTAGAACTTCTGACCTCAGGTGATCCACCCACCTCGGCTTCCCAAAGTGCAGGGATTACAGGTGTGAGCCACCACGCCTGGCCAGAAGTTTTTTTTTGTTTTTATGGGAAGACTTTCTAAGAGATCTACTCTGTGTACTAATTTTATCTATGTCAGCAACAACCTGTTATCAAAGCTCATCATGTTAAGTCCCATCCCTTCCTTCAATTATTTACAACATGAGTTTCTCTCTCTGGGTAACACACTATTTTCCAAGTGTAATAGTCCATTCTCACCCTTCTATAAAGAACTACCTGAGACTGGGCCATTTAAGAAGAACGGAGGTTCAATTGACTCACAGTTCCACCAGCTTATAATAAGTATGGCTGGGAAGGCCTCAGGAAACTTACAATCATGGTGGAAGGGTGAAGGGAAAGCAAGTAACTTCTTCACATGGAAGTGAGAGAGAGAGCAAACGGGGAGGTGCTACACACATTCAAATAACTAGATCTGATGAGAACTTAATTACACAAGAAAGGGGGAAATAACACAAGAAAGCAAGGGGGAAATCTGCACCCATGATTCCATCACTTCACACTAGGTCCCTCCCTCAACATTGGGGATTAAAATTCAACATGAGATTTGGGTGGGGACATGGAGCCAACTATATCACCAAACTCATATGACTTTTCAGATACAAGCAGTGCAATGAATTACAAATATGGCAGAATATTCAATTTAGTCATTACATCTATGTACCCTCCAAAATACTATGCACTTTATACAGGGCATGTCAAGAACAACCACTCCAATGTGCCCCTAGGAATCCAAGCAACACCAAAGGAATGTTTTTCAAGGGTTACAAGTTTTGTCATTGTACCAATTAAAAAGGTTTCTCTGGATGCTCTGTAGGTTCTCCAAATGAGTGTTAGAAATCACTGTGGTTGATTGGCTATTTTCTTTCCAGGAGAGCCCGCCTCTTTGCTGCAGTCAGCGCACCTCCAAATCTTCCCTATCTTCCTGAATATCCAAGGCCTGGGTTAGGCAGGGAGTGTAGTGCAAAAAAAAGACTGATGGGTGGGACTGAAGGTTCCTGAGTTCTAGTCCTGGCTATGTCCCTAATGGGCTATGGAACCTTATGGAAGTCATACTTTTTTAGACCTCATCTTTCTCATCTGTAAAAATGAAAGATTTATCTCCAATGACTTCTATGATATCACCTAGCTTCCAGTTTCTGATTCTAGTGGTTCCATACTCAAGGCCACTACAAAGTGATGGCAAGGACAGACAGGGAACGTCCCACTTCATGTCAGCCCCCACTCCCTTTTTTCAATGCAGAGGTAACTTGGCACATCAAGTATGAAGTCCCTTCTGGTTCTCTTCCCTCAATCTTGAATCTGATATGCTGCTCCTTATTCAGCAAAGATATTCTAAAAGTTGCTTTAATTTGACTTTTACTGTTTTAGCATAATTTAATTTATTTACATAATTGATTTTGCTTTTTAAAGTACCCAAATCTGGTTTCAAAATATATCAAATAAACTCTGGTACAGAATATATCAAAATTTATATTTAAATACATTATTATTTCACAGTAATGTTAAGCAATGCCATGTTATATATGCCAGGATAGTAAAACTATCGACTTTGTTGAGAAATTCAGATCTAACACCTGTGGTGATTTAAGTAATACCACACTCTCCTCAGCTTCTGCATATAGAGCCATATCTGTAAGAAGTTGATTATCAATAGAGAAGCAAAAAGTGAACAAATATATATGTATATATATATATATATCAGAGTTTTTATGGTATTAAACTTATCTGTTTATATATTAGTGTTAATAATGAAACACTAAGTTAATGTTGAACCTGCTTATATTAATCTGTGTTCACAACATGTATTATATGTGTATGTGTGTAATATGTTCATGTATATGATATACACAACCTCTCTTTGTTTCCTATTCACTCAATTCACTGGAAGTCTCAAATTCTAGAATTCTTTGTAGACAATTACTACTATCTGAAAGATTTATGTGAAACAAGAAAAAATTTGCTGAAGTTGAAGACATTTTTTTTTTCCTTCCTTATCTAGGCTAGTTGTAAAGTCTCTGAAGGAGAAAGGCATTGTGGAGCCAGAACTATATGAGGAAGTTACAATCTACTTTAGTGATATTGTAGGTTTCACTACTATCTGCAAATACAGCACACCCATGGAAGTGGTGGACATGCTTAATGACATCTATAAGAGTTTTGACCACATTGTTGATCATCATGATGTCTACAAGGTAACCACATCACCTAACAGGCTGAAGCAATTAATGGTGCTGCCCGAGGTCATCAGAGCCTGAATTGGTTGTTTCTGTTACTACTCTTGTCCTCTCTAGTTTACATTTAGTGAATTGATGGTTGAATCTGAGCTAAAAGTGAATAGAAGTAGAAGAATTAGAGGAGTTAGAAGTCAAAATTACCATTTAACTTTAAGAAGCAGCACAAAAGATACAACAGGAAGTGCAGCAGGAATGAATTTGGGATACTAAATTTAGACAAAACGGCATACTCTTAAATCACCTCCAAAAAATGGGCAGTGTTTAAGCTGACTAGAAATGAAGCAGAGAAGACACTGAGGTTATAATAAATAGAAAATCATACTACAAAAATGTGTACAATTACACATTACAAAATATTCTGTCAAGTAGTGTGTAGACATTTGCTAAAGGATTACTTTTCAGGTAACGCAGGGTGTTCCTCAAATTACATAAAGCCATTTAGATTATTTATTTGAACATTTCTAGAATTGTCACCACATCTGGACAATTTATATAATTGTGAAGTACTTTTAAATGGCTAAATTTCTTTATAGCTATTTTATCATCCATTAACTAGACTATAAAAAGCCCAAAGAAATCAGCGTAGAACTGATTGAACTGGCTCCAGAAAAGGTGTAAAGGGCTATGCTCATACTGTGTTCCCAAATCACGTTTTGTGTTTGATATGTGATTAACTGCTTCTGTTTAATTTCTATGCTTTTCAAAGTGGCAGAGCCACTCATGAGAAACTGTTTCCACAGGTGGAAACCATTGGTGATGCCTACATGGTGGCTAGTGGTTTGCCTAAGAGAAATGGCAATCGGCATGCAATAGACATTGCCAAGATGGCCTTGGAAATCCTCAGCTTCATGGGGACCTTTGAGCTGGAGCATCTTCCTGGTCTCCCAATATGGATTCGCATTGGAGTTCACTCTGGTATGGAGTTGAGCATCTTAGCAAATAGGGACCCATATGTACTGCTACGCACCAACTAAATCAGAAAGGATAAAAGATCTTCACGTGTGATCAACTTCACCTAATGTTTAGTCAATTCTTTTTGCCAAATGTGAGGTCCCACTATACATCCTGAGATACTTAGACCCAGTTCCTAGAGAGCTCTAAGAACAAGACCTTTGAGAGCACCACTGACTACTGAAATAATAAACAGCAAACATGTACAAAAACAAGAAGCTTTGGACTTCCTATTTAAATCACCATACCTATGATTTCATTTATCTCCTCCTCATTTCCTCTCTCCCCACCCCTAACTTCTATCTATTTTCCCACTAAAATATTATAGTACCTGAAATGGATTAGATTATCTGCAAGGGGAAAAAAACACAGCTGCTGAAATTTCTGTAATACTTATACCCCCTCCCCTGCCTGCCACTGCAGTAGTACATAAAGTACATGGGTCACTTGCAAAGACCATGAAAGTTACATAGCCTTGTTAAAAAAAAAGCTTTATGCATACCAAATAATTTAACACAGTTTAATTGAGCAATGAACAATTTTCAAATCAGATGGCCCTTAGAACCAGAAGAGGTTCAGAGAGCTTCCCTGGGTAAGGTGGGCAGGCAGTGTTTATAGACAGAAAACAGGAGTGAGAGACAGAAACAACTTGATTGGCCAGAGCTCCATGTTTCCCTGATTTGGTCAAGGTCCAATCAGTTGGCAGCCTGTGATTGGCTGAAGCTCAGCTACTGTGATTGGCTGAGACTCAGCTATTTGTAACGTAAGTACCTGAGCTAGGCTCTTAGTTTGTTTATAGATCAAGCTAGGTTGGAGTTTGTTGTGTAGGGTCCCCTAAGAGGCTGTCTCAGGCCAAACAGTTTAATTCAGTAGCCTTGAACATCAAGATTTGAGATGAGTTACAGGTGTTATGGAAAAACATAGTAGGAGAGGAACTCAGAAGTTATCTAGATTAATCTTTTGCAAGGCATTGCCTAAAACCCAGCTTTGCAGTTTCTGAGTTAATCTTTAACTTCTTAAAGTGGTAACTCCTTGCATTCAGTCATTTTATGCAGATACTTGACTGACTAACCCTTCTTTCCTACCTAATATACCACAGTGCATAGTCTCGCCTTCGGCTTGCTAGAACCTCCTTGTGCCACAGGCTTCCCCATCCAGCTGCATTCGCCTGGCTCATGAAATGCTTAAGGAAGGTTATGCCTTTGTCTTGTCTTCTGTCTTCCATTGTCATGCCACCAATCCCAGAAATGCCACCTTAAAATAAAAATAAATCAAACTTGAACCATTGAGGCTTCAAGTCTACAGTGCTCCCCATCAGTGTGAAATTCAGGGTCGTGTGGTTTGGCAGAGTAAGCAGGCAGTGGGCTCATCTTCATCGTTCCTGAGAGCCTTCTATTTAAAATCACCTTTGTGATCTGGAACTCCGGATGTCTTCCTGTTTGCTACACATATTGTTTTCTTTTCGAGAGCAAAATACTTTATGATCGCATGCATTCAATAATGATGCTTCATTGGATTCATCCATTTAAAGCAAAAGTCCCAGTTCACATTTTACAACCTCAGCCACTTCTCTATTACAGGAAGTATTCAGGATTGTGACCGTGCCAAGAAGCTTACCTGTTTTCACTCTACTCTGCAATTTCTATTGCCTCTACTTCCTGCTTTCTGTCCTTCATTTCAGGTCCCTGCGCTGCTGGAGTCGTGGGAATCAAGATGCCTCGTTACTGCCTATTTGGAGATACAGTCAACACAGCCTCTAGGATGGAATCCACTGGCCTCCGTAAGCAGGGGGATGGTTTTTCTCAGAAGACAAAAGACTCTGTCTTCCACCAGAGGGCAACTGTGAGATAAAATGCACAATCAGGAGATACAAAGTGCCAGCGACCTGTAGAATGATTCTTCACATTGGCTGAACACAACCCGGTGTCAATCCAGCTTTTGCTACATTTGCTTTTGTTGTTGTTTACTGATAATTGTTTTCTTATTCCACTTTTGCTCAGTTTTAGACAGTTTCTATATTTTTGTTTCATATACAATGAATTCAGGGATATTCTACTTAGAATGGTCATGGCATTTGGCATAGATTTATGAAAATTTTTAAAAAAGTTAATGGGCAAGGTAAGAAGTATACACTCTGGTTCACATTCCTGTTTCCCTGTTGTTTGCTTTTGCTTTTTTGTTTTCGTTTTTTAGCGACAGGCTCTTGTTCTGTCACCCAAGCTGGAGTGCAGTGGCACAATCATAGCTCACTGTAAACTTGAACTCCTGGGCTCAAGTGATCCTCCTACCTCATCCTCCCAAGTAGCTGGGACTACAGGAACATACCAGCACATCTAGCTAATTTTTAAATTTTAAATAAAGACTGGGTCTCACTATGTTGCCCAGGCTGGTCTCAAACTCCTGACCTCAAGTGATCTTTCCATCTTGGCCTCCCAAAGCATATTCAATTTTTCTGGAAATTGAGTTTTGTTTATTTGTTTAAGATGGGGTCTCACTCTGTCATATAGGCTTTGGTGCAGTGGCACAATCACAGCTCACTGTATCCTTGAACTGCTGGGCTCAAGTGATCCTTCCACCTCAGCATCTTGAGTAGCTGGGACTACAGGCATGCCATACCACACAGCTAAGTTTTTAATTTTTCTGTAGAGGTGTGGTTTCCCAATGTTGTCTAGGCTGGTCTCAAACTCCTGGGCTCAAGCTAGTCTTCTGCCTTGGCCTCCCAAAGTGTTGGAATTACAGGCATAAGCCATCATGCCTAACCTTGTTTTAGCAAGGAAAAATCTAAGCATGTGTTAAATACACAGAAATATATTGTATTTGCTTGGCAAGGTAGAGGCACAATATGCTGCATGAAGTAGATGCTCAATAAATATTGATGACAGTGGTAGTAGTAGAAATATATAGAAGACAGAAAACAGCATTGGTAGACATGGCTGGGGCTTACAAAACCACAGGAGGCAGGATGGTATTTTGGTAGTGTACTGACAATCTAATACTAGTTTTTACTGGCAAATCATGCTGGCAAGGAAAAGGGTCATACAGACTTGAGTTAAATTGAAATTGTGTTAATCACTGTCAGTATAAGTTGGAAGAAAGCTATCGGATCCTTCTAGCCCTCAGAAAGATAAAGATATAAATTGAGAATGGAATACCAACCTTGCCAAGAGGGTTTCTGAAAGAATTTGGGATGATGTCATGTTAAGCATTTAGCAATCATGGTACATGGTAGGTATAGAATTTGGGATTGTCATTATTCTTACTGTTGTTATTGTTTGCGGTGTTGCTATTAGGCCCCCATATTGGGAAAGGTGGTACACATCACTGGACTTGTGATTGGGAGTGCCCTCACCACTTGTTTTGTCAAAGGATAACAATGTTCCAGAAGAAGGAAAGTTGAGAAAATCAAGACCCCATGACTCTCCTGAATCTTCACATTGCCCACAAGTCTTTAGCTATTTATTGACACTTTTCCAAAGGGACCGAAAACCAAACTCCAACTCCCAAACTCGGCACTACAAGCCAAATCTAAAACTAGGTCCCCCAGGCTACTACTCTGAGCCAAAATGAGAATCTATGGGGCAAAACCTAGGGATCTCTATCACTCAGGGCCCTGAAAACCAATGCCAGGCCCTCTTTCTTCCCATGTGAAATTACATTTCTTGAGTGAGGCCGTTCTTGCCTTGCTATAAAGAAATACCTGAGACTGGGTTATTCATAAGAAAAGAGGTTTAATTGGCTCATGGTTCTGCAGGCTGTACAGGAAAAATAGCACCTGCATCTGCTTCTGGGGAGGCCTCAGGAAGCTTTTACTCATGGCAGAAGGCAAAGCAGGAACAGGCACTTCATATGGCAAAAGCAGGAGCAAGAGAGATAGTGGCAGAGGCGGGTGCCACACACTTTCAAATGACCAGATCTTGTGAGAACTCACTATGGCAAAGACAGCACCAAGCCATGAGGGATCCACCCCTGTGACCCAGACACCTGGCGGGAGGCCAGGCCTCCAGCACTGGGGATTAAAATTCAACATCAGATTTGGGTGGGAACAAATATCTAGCTATACCATTTCTTATCTGTCTGTTATTTTTAAGTGTTCTTTCACTAAAATAGCCACAATTGTTTCTCCTTGATTTAGGATTCTTGTCTCAGGTATTGTTAATATCCTGAATCAATGTGAAACAAAAAGGTCATGTAAGAGATTTCCAAATGGCTGAGATTTTTATTTACCTATTTTGCATATCCAGCCTTGAGAATTCACGTAAGTGGCTCCACTATAGCCATCCTGAAGAGAACTGAGTGCCAGTTCCTGTATGAAGTGAGAGGAGAAACGTACTTAAAGGTAAGGAGTCCACAGAGATAATACTTAGAAAAAGCTCTCAGACATGCTTGGGCCACCTCCTTTGATACACAGCCGGGAAAGCTGAGGAGCATGCTAATGAAGAATCCTTTCCTATACCATCCTCTGCAAGAGAAACCACCACCAAAAAATGTGAACTCAGAACTTTTCTTTACTCCAAAGAGCCCTTTTGACATTTTGAATTTTGCGACCATTTCCTCTGCCATATTCAAGTTTTGTCTCCAGTTCCTCCTCCAAACACAAGAGCTACATACAGTCTGATCCAGAGCTTATTTAACTTAAATCACAACCCCTGCCCCCCACTTACTTCCCTAATCTTACTACATAACGCTATGATCTGAGGTCACCTCTCTTGCCAGTTGCATTACTATTTAGAAGCTCTGGAATCACAAGGTGTGAATCACAAGGTGTGGGCCCATTCTCCTCCTGACTTGGCATCATCTAGATGCTTGTTAAAATGCAGATGTCTGGACACTCCACCAGGCCTGCTATGCAAGATTCTCTATGGGTGTAGATCAGAAATCTGTATTTTTAACAATATAATGTTTTTGTGACCACACTAATGTTTGAGAATCACTACTTTAGATTCTTCATGTTCCTCACATTTGAAATAGCTGCCCTCCAAAGCCATCAGCTGTCTCCAGTTGCTTCTCAGGTTGCTTTTCCAAAGTTATTACAATCTTTTCACAACTGGCAAAGCCAACTATTAACTGTAAGTTACCTGTCTCCAGCAGCCATCATGCTTCTGGCCTTTACATTTTGACTGCACCTTGGAAAAGTCCATTATGTAAAAGTGTTCTAACATCACTTTTGAGTTATTTTGAGTTCTCCATAAATGTTCTTTGTAAAAAATGTATTTTTTTAAATACATTTTTTACAAAGAACATTTACCCCAAAATAGAAGCCATTTATGGATTACTATGGTCCAAACACAACCAATGAATTATTAAATTCATCTTTTAAAAATGGTGGCTCACTGGCTGTGTTTGAATCATATGTATTCTGAAAAAGATATACACATGTATATCTCCAGTTTCTTTTTCAAATACCAGCTTTAGCAAAAACTGAGTTTCCAGTATTCCAGTAAATTTCCATACACTCCAGATGGGGCCCACAAATGTCACTTAATGAGTACTTAATCATGATGTACATGTGTGTATAACAAGGTAGGGAAACTGTAGCAAAAGTTTTGCGGCAAAACTTTATTGCAAAAAGGACTAGAAGAAAATATGGACAATGGGAACCAGTTGGATTTGTTGATGTAGCAGAATTGCAGATGAATTTTCCTCCTTTTTAAGTTAGAGTTCTTGTGATGTTGCTAGAGTGATATTTTAAAATGTCTTTTGGGGAAAAAAAGAAAACTCTACTCTGAGAAAAAGATGTCTGCTGAATGAGAAACATTTTTAAAAAGGCACTTGGAAATAAAGATTTGTCTAGAGATAATGCAAATCATAACAGGAATGTGTGATGCACTTAAATATTGGCACTGATAAGAAATGCGGAAGTGAAGTATGTCTTAGAAACAGATTATTGTGGGAAGAGTGGGCTACAACTGAACCGACTCGTTGGCCTCCGTGGTACATAACTCTTTTGTCTTACTAGGGAAGAGGAAATGAGACTACCTACTGGCTGACTGGGATGAAGGACCAGAAATTCAACCTGCCAACCCCTCCTACTGTGTAAGCTTCTGGGTGTGGCAGGGACGGGGAGGAAATTAGAGATCTTGGCTTTGTAAGTTACGCTACTTATAGCCAATTTAAGTTGGCAAGCACCTTACAAGTGGCATATATTGCATATGAGGCAAGGGACTATACATGAGAAAGTTTAGAAACCTCCCTTCTTAGACTGCAAGAAGGGAGTTATCCTGAAAGCCTGTATTTTCCTGAGACTTCAATGAAACAGAAAAGTACTTAGCCTTGGCTTCCCTGTCTGGAACATAGACTTGCTTCATGAATTAGATGTGTGTTCTCAGTATAAAACTACTTTTTTTTTTTTAACTCTGAATCCTTTATCCCAAGAGGGAGCTTCCACCTGGAAAAGAGAAGGAATGAAAAGACTATTTAGAACTTGAGGAGATTTTGTTATTTCATGTATTTTGTTTTGTTTACTGGCTCTGTATTCATGATATTTTTAAACTGTCAAAATTATGTTTTAAATACCTTATCGGCATTAAAGTATACTTAACTTAGAGTGGATGCAAAAAATCTACTACATATTAGACAAGAATGAGTTAAACATTTCCTGAGCCTGGGTATGTGCTTCTACCTATTCTGCCACTTTCCTAGAATGTACCAGTCATCATCTTGTCCCTGCTGAAAAACCAACTATATTGCCCTGCAATAAAGCATGACAAAGCTAGCATTGTGTTCCAGGCTTGCTCAGGAGAATGGAAGACACTTTAGAGTTCATCTTTTGTGTGTCTGGTTCTCACAAGAGTGGAGCATACTGGGGGCAAAGAGGGTCTCTGCATTCCCCTCCTGTCTTCATCTTTCTATTGAATCACCTGATGAAAACAGGACCTCCCTCAGCCACAAGACTGTGGTTCTGGGTATCAACATGAGGCCTGTGTTCTCCCACAGATGAGGAAGACAAAGTTTCAGGGTTAACTGACAGGTTTCAGTTCTCCTAAATGTGACTCAAGTTGTCCTTTAGTTCCCTATCAATACATGTTACTGCAGCCATCTGGCCATTGCCTTGGCTTTTGCTATGGTTAAGAAACTCTGTCTTGTAGAGGCCTAGATGGCAGACCTAGACATAAGGGAAGCTTCTAGAAAAGCCAAAATAACACAAATCTTCCCTGGGGCATGAGAAACCTGGCTCCTTACCTGGAGTGTCCCAGGTCCATTCTAAACTTGTGGCCCCCTTCACCGTTCTAAGCCTTCCCCAAGCAAGACTCACACTGTTAAGTATGAGTGGGACCAATGAGTTTTCAGCATTGTGTGGCAGGGGCCTAGCATCCTCCCAGCTTCTTTTTCCCTTCCTACAGTGGCATATGTAGACCTAGATCCTCCCAACCATGCCTCCAAATTCCAGCAGCATATTGTTTCACTTTGAAATTGAAGTGTAATTTCCTAGCAGAGATGACAGTTTTTTAAGGTCATCAAAGGCAAGGATCATTTTATATTCTTTGGATTTCCTGTGTCTAGCACAGAATGGGCATTTAAAGAGTAACTAACTGAACTGATTCTTCTGGAACTAAGGAATATTCTGTATGAATTGCTGAGAAGTTCTATTTTCTCTTCCCACCCTGTTTCCAGGGAGAATCAACAGCGTTTGCAAGCAGAATTTTCAGACATGATTGCCAACTCCTTACAGAAAAGACAAGCAGCAGGGATAAGAAGCCAAAAACCAAGACGGGTAGCCAGCTATAAAAAAGGCACTCTGGAATACTTGCAACTGAATACCACAGATAAGGAGAGCACCTATTTTTAAACCGAAATGAGGTGTAAGGACTCACAAAATTAAAACACAGTTGCACTGAGGCAATGGCCTCAAGTGTCCTGAATGCCTGCATTTTCCAGAGACCTCAATGAAGCAGAAATGTACTTAAGCTTGGCTGCCTTGTCTGGAACATAGACTTTCTTGCCTGAATCACATGTGTGTTCTCAGTGAAATAACTAACTACCTTCCACTCTGGATCCTTATTCCAGCAGTTGTTCCAGGAAGCTTCTAACTAGAAAAGAAAAGAAATGAATAGACTGTCTAGAACTTGAGAAGATTTTATTCTTATTTCATTTATTTTTTGTTTGTTTGTTTTTATTTTGTTGTTTACTGGCTCTTTTTCCTTCTGTATTCATAAGATTTTTTAAATTGTCATAATTATATTTTAAATACCTTATCTTCATTAAAGTATATTTAACTCATAATTTTTGCAGAAAGTATGCTATATATTAGGCAAGAATAAAAGCTAAAGGTTTGCCAAGTCTGTGTATGTGCTTCTACCTTTTTTAACCATTTTCCTGGAACGCATCAGTCACATCATCTGTACTTACTGAAAAACTGACTACATTCACTCATACTGAAGCATGGCAAAGTTAGCACTGTTGCTCCACAGTGAGAACCTTGAAGGTTAGTATCACCTGCTACACATGAGGGAATTTCTGACCTTTAAACACAAGTGTTGCTTCAGTGTGTCCACTTAACAAGTGGATGGTGGTGATCTAAGAATGGGACCTAGGCAGAAGTCAAATTCCTGTACTGCGTTTTTCTAACTATAAAGTAATTCGTGTCTCTAAGCTCCTGATCTTTCATCAGTAAATTATGAATCATAATATCCACTTCATATGAGACTGTGCCATCTCCTCCCCCAACCTGGCAAAACACCACTCACAGATAATTAGACCCACAGTTTACAAAGTAAAAGGAGGGAACTGGAGCGGAAACTTTGATGTCCCCACCAGTCTGAGCATCTTCACAAGAAGCTCACTCTGGTCCTGTCTCATGAACCATTCCAAGTACCAGGTGGGCTGAAACACGAGGGGTGAACTGGGGACAAAAGCAGAGGTGTTGATTGCCGAAACTCACATGCAGATCTTGCAGCTGTTCTGTGCTCCAATCAGCAGAGATGCCACACTGAGGAGACTGGATGATGCAACAGCTCTACTGGAGGCAAAACCCACAGGAAAGCCTGAATCCCTGGTTAGATTTCCCCCAAAGCCCAGGTGCTAATGTGGAACCTTCCTCTCACTTGTAAACAACTAAAAGAGTTTTTTTTTTTTCCTTTTAAACAACCTTTAAATTTTAGCACTTTCTTAAGTCTTCCCCAGACCAGGAAGCAATAACAGTCTGGTGATTAAGTTACAATATTAAGTATTAAAGGTCTAACACCAGCAAAGAATACCTGTAAAACCTGGAAGAAGTGACCATCTCCTCAAATGTGCAGGCATCAATGTAAAGACACAAAGATTGTGAAAACTCAGGGAAATATGATATCATCAAGAGAAACCAACAAAGCGCCAGTGATAGACCCAAAATAATTGAAGGCCTGTAACAAGTCTGGCAGAATTCAGAAAAATCTTCTTAAAGAGTTCAGGGAAGCACAAGAGAGTATAGATTAAAAAATTAAATGAAATTTGAAAAACAATCCAGGAACAAAATGAGAAAACTGACAAAAGAATGTAAAAACTCATATAAAAATTGAAATCTTACACATAAAGGATACAATAGCTAAACTGAAAAGCTCACTGTAAAGCTTCAATAGCATATTTAATCAGAGGAGAGAATCAGTATGCTGAAGACAGGACATATGAAATTACCCAATCAGAAAAAAAAAAGAATTATAGGATATCATCAAGCAAACAAAACTTTACATAATAATTCCTAAAGAAGATGAGAGAGAAAAGGGCCATATTTTTAAAAGTATAGCTGAAAGATTTTCAAATCTGAAGAAAGATAATAGCATTCAGGTTCAGGAAGCTCAGAGGTCACCAATCAAATTCAAAGAGGAATTCCCCAAATCACATCACAATCAAATTATCGAACATCAAAGAAGGAATATTTAAAGCAGTAAGAGAAAAAAAATCACACTCAGTAGAGCCCCAGTATAGCTTGCAGTAGATCTCTCAGCAGAAACTTTGCAGACCAGGAGACAGTGAGATATATATTCAAACTACTGAGAAAAAGAAGCTGTCAGCTAAGAATATTGTAACCAACAAACTATCTTTCAAACATGAAAGACAGATAAAGACTTTCCCAGACCAAAAAACAAAACAAAACAAAACTCTGAGGGGATTAATCAACATCAGGCTTGTCATACAAGAAATGCTAAAGGGAGTCCAGCAGTCTAAAAGAGAAGGATGTTAACATGCAACAAGAAAACATCTGAAGGTAGAAATTTAGAATACTCTAATACTGTAATTGTGGTATATATACTGATTATATCTTAATTATGAAGACTAAAGCTTATTAAAGATGATAACTACAACAAGTGATTAAGAGGCAATATAAAGAGATGTAAACAAACATCAAAAAGTCAAAACATAGAGGGGGAATGATGTTAAAGTATAGTGAATTTGTTGCTTGCTTTTCTTTGCAAACAAAGCTAAGTTCTTTTCAGTTTAAAATAACCTATTATAACGATAACATGTTTTATGTAAGCCTCATAGTAACCACAAAGAAAAACATCTATAATAGAGACAATGAAAACAAATAGCACAGAATTAAAACATACTACTGGAGAAAATTACTTAACACAGAGGAAGACAGTATAAGAGAAAGAAAAAATTTACCAAAACAATGCAAAAAAACACTTAAAAGAATGGCAATAGAAAACATTTCCCTATCCATAATCACCTTGAATGTAAATGGATTAGATTCCCCAATTAAAAGACACAAAGTAGGCTGGGTGCAGTGGCTTACACCTGTAATCCCAGCACTTTGGGAGGCCGAGATGGGTGGGTCACTTGAGGCCAGGAGTTTGATACCAGATTGGCCAACATGGTAAAACTCCATCTTTACTAAAAATACAAAAATTTGCCAGCGTGGTGGCATACCCTGTAATCCCAGCTATTCGGGTGGCTGAGGCACAAGAATCTCTTGAACCCAGGAGGTGAGGTTGCAGTGAGCGGAGATTGTACCACTGCACTCCAGCCTCAGCAATAGAGTGAGACTCTGTTTCAAAAGAAAATAATAATAATAATAAGAGATAGAATAGCCGAATGAATTAAACAGGACCTAAGTACATGCTATCTATAAGAAACTACACCTCTAAAGATATGTGCAAACTGAAATTGAAGGAATGGAAAAAGATATTCCATGAAAATGGAAACCAAGAAGATCAGGAGTAGCTGCACTTAAATCATATAAAATAGACTCAAGTTAAGAACAGTATAAAAACAATAAAGAATGCTATTCATAAAGATAAAGAAGTCAATACAATAGGGGATATAATAATTGTAATATATATGAACCCAATACTAAGATAAAATGTAAAGCAAATATTAATAGACCTGAAAAGAGAGACTGTCTATAATATAAAGTAGTAGGGGACTTTAGCACCCCACTTTTAGCAATAGACATATCATCCAAACAGAAAATTAATAAATATGAAGATTAAACTGTATTCTAGACCAAATGAACCTTATAGACTTTTACAGAACATTCCATCCAACAACTACAAAACACGTATTTTTCCCAATAGCGCATGGAGCATTCTTCAGGACAGATAATATTTGAGGCCATAAAATAAGTCTTAATACGTTTAAAGTCAAAATTATATTAAGTATCTTTTCTGACCACAGTGGAATAAAACTAAAAATCAGTAAGAGGAGAATTTGACACAGTGGGCATGAGCAGATGAAGAAAAGAAGAAAGAAAAAAAAAAAAAAACAAGAGAAATGTTGGAAACTACAAATACACAGAAATTAAACAACACGCTCCTGAATTACTATTAGGTCAAGAAAGAAATTAAGAGTGAAATTAACATTTTTCTTAAGACAAGTGAAAATGGAAATACACCATACAAAAATCTAAGAAACACAGCAAAAGCAGTTCTATTAGAGAAGTTTATAGTAATAAATGCCCACACTGAAAAAGTAGAAAAATCTCAAATAAACAAGACGACTTTCACCTCAAGAGCTAGAAAAACAAAAACAAATTTAACCCAAACTTAGTAGAAAAAAAGAAATAGTAGAAAAGAGTTAAATGAAAGAGAGATTTTTAAAACAATACAAAAGATCAACAAAACAAAAACATTTTTAAAAATATAAACAGAACAACAAACCTTTACCTAGGCTTACTAAGAAAAGGAGATGACTCAAATAAATAAAATCAAAGATGAAAAAGGAGTCATGACAACTGATACTACAGAAATACAAAAAATCATAAGAAACTAGGAGCAACAACAATAGATTAGCAAGTCTAGAAGAAATATACAAATTTCTGAACACATACAACCTATCAAAATTGAATTATGAAGAAACAGAAAACTCAAACAGAACAATAACAAGTAACAAGATTGATGTAGTAATAAAAACTTTCTCGTCAAAGAAAAGCCCAGGACCCAATGACTTTACTGCTGAATTCTACCAACATTTAAAGAAAAACTAATGCCAATTCTACTCAAACTATTTCAAAAAGTTAGAGAAGGGACTACTTCCAAACTCATCATCCAAGGCCAACATTATTGTGATTCCAAAACCAGACAAGGACTTCAAGCCAATATCACTGATGAGCACATATGCAGAAACCCTCAACAAAATGCTAGTAAATAAAATTCAACAGTATATTGAAAAGATCATTTCACCATGATCAAGTTGAATTCCTCTCAGGGATGCAAGGATGGTTCAACATACACAAATTAATAAAGATGATACACCACAGTAACAAAATCAAGGATAAATACCATAAAATCATTTTAATTGATGCTAAAAAAAAAACTTTCAATAAAATTCAGCATGTCTTCATGATAAAAATTCTCAACAAAATGAACATAGAAGAAACATAACACAATAAAGGCCATAATGACAAACCCACAGCTAACATCATACCGAACTAAAAAAAGTTGAAAACTTTTTCTCTAAGATTTGAAGCAAGACAAGAATACCCACATTTACCACATAATTTCAGCATAGTACTGAAAGTTCTAGCCACAGCAGTTATGCAAGAGAAAGAAATAAGGGGCATCCAAACTGGAAAGGAGGAAGTCAAATTGTCCCTGTTGGTAGACAACATAAACATATATATAGAAAAACCTAAAAGACTCCACTAAAAACTATTAAAGTAATAAATAAATTTAGACAAGCTGCAGGATACAAAACCAACATAGAAAAATCAGTAACATTTCTGTATTTCAATAGCAAACTAACTGGAAAAAAATCAAGAGAGAAATTCTGCTTACAATAGCTTCAAGAAAAATAACTACCTAGGAATAAACTTAACAAAGGACTTAAATGATCTCTACAATGAAACCTATAAAGCATTGATG